TTGGAAAGGAATATTCGTTGAAATTTTATTTTTCAGAATTCGCCAAGAAATCATGTGAAATACTAGTACTAGTATTTTTAAATGATCATACATGATCAATAATAGTAACATTAATATTTTGAAATTAATAGCATTACATTGCTACAAAGATTTAAAATTTGATGAATGAAAAATTGACATAAAAATGACACAAATGTATTTAATAAATTTATAATCAAGATTTTATGTTGAAAATATTAATTTTAACATAAACAAATTGAGAACTGAGGGGAAATTTCAATGTTAAATTTTTAACGAAAAAAGTTTCAAATATTTCATTCAACAATCATTCGTACATTGCGTTAGAGACTTCAATAAGTATTTCAGAATTTTTTTAGAACTCCTCGTTATGAATAAACGCAGATAAAGAATTATAATAGTCAATATTTACAACGAAGAAAATAGTAAAATATTTGCTCACCTCGTTTCGATTAAAAAACACTGAAAATAATACATTATTAAAAACATTTGAAACGATAAAAATTAATTTCCTTTCCGATAATTTCCCAATTTCCAGAGGCAAAACGGGGTGCAATGGAGGGGGCAGAGGACATCGAGGACCTGATACCACCACCCATGTCCCTCTCCCTCCCAGAACTGTTCAGCGTGGAGCACCAAGTGGTAGAAACCCTGAGAGAGGCGGTCAGCTCCACTGAGCTGCTCCACGAGCGTGCCATGGAACGTTTCTATCGTGCAGTGGCGGCTGAAGAGGCATCGGAACTGGCTAAGAGGAAAAGCCAACTCGAGAGAAGAACCGGGGAGCTGGCGACAACGATAGCGAACAAAACAGGCGTCGAAGACATCTCAGACAACCAAAGATCCTCGTTCAAACGACGGCTCTCCAACCCGACCGTTCCATCCTCGAACCTGATCACCTGGCAGTCGAAGAAGAATCGTAGAAGACTGAGCGACAGCCAAACGGAAACCGTCAAAGCGCCTCAGAAACTCTTGACCCCTGCCACCTTCTTATTGGACGTGGAGACAAGGTCTGATCCCAATATACCCAGCGATTCAGAGTCACCGATCGCGACGCAATGGGGATTGGAGAATAAACCAATTTTGGAGGACACGCCATTGCGCAGGTGGCACGACACCAACGTCTCCTCATTGGTCGAGGAAGGAAGGCAGGAAGAGAAATCGATAGCCTGGCAACCAGCGAGCAACGAGGGTGGGCGCATCGAGGAACCGCCTCGGGACCAAATTCAACCAACAACTCAACAATCTCAACCGGGAACGAGGCGAGAAGAAGAAGAAGAGGAAAAAGAAGAGGAGGAGGAGGAGGAGGAGGAGAGCGTAGAATCGTCGGAAGAATCCTCGGAGGAGGTCAGCAGCGCCGACAGCGAGGATTTGAAGCTTCTAAAAGCAAGAATCCTTGCCAGACAGGTGCTTGACGAGGAGGACACTTACCATCCAAGAGGGAAGCCGATTCTTCACGTTGAAACCGAGCCTTCCTCGCAACCGATCCGATCTGTGGCCCTCGTCTCTCCCAGCACCGTGGTTCCAAAATCGATCCTGAAGAAGCCCAAAGAGGAGCCACAGATCCCCGTGAACAGTTTCGGCAGACCTATCCCACCCGAGAAACCTGTCAGAAGATCGTTACCACCGAACGTTCATCCGTTGAACAGGAACGAGCAGGAGGAGGAGGAGGAAGCGAGCGAGGAGAGACAGGTCACTCCAGAGCCTGCCAGGGTACCGGTTATGTCCGAGTCCGACACCGACAGCGTGTTGTCCGCGGGCGAAGCGGCTAAGAATCGCAGGATTCAGGCAAAGATGAGAACAGCGACACCGGAGGAGGAGGTGGACGAGGAGGACATCGAGGCGAGGATGGCGGTGGTCAATCACTACACCGAGATAGTCAGGGAGCACTCGTCCCTCGCTCGTTATCACAATTACAGAAGCTCCGAGGAGAGGAGACAGTTTGGGGAGAATTCGGCTGGTTCCAGGAGATCTTCGATCTCGGACGATCAAGGAGGGAGAGATCGTTTCGAGGTGTCAGGAAGGCAGGAGAACGTCGAGGGGAGGAAGAGAGTCGAGGAGAGGCAACAAACGAAAGTTGTCGCGGGTTCTCGAGGTACGACTCCAGCCAGGGATACGAAGGAGAAACGATCGAGCAGGCCGTCCTCCAGGAATCAGTCCCCGGTTTCGAGGTCGAGGAATGTGTCCACGGAAAGAGGAGGAGTTTCCTCGAGATCTTCGTCGAAGAGCAGAGTTCGTGCACCGTCCCAAGACAGAAGGCCACCTTCGAGGACCGGGTCGGAGGAGCAACGATCAGTTCGAGAGGAAGGAGGTGGTCGTCGATCGAGGAGATCCTCTTCGAAGACACCTTCCAGATCTAATTCGAGGGACAGGAACAGAGCGGAGACGCCCGTCGAGTCGAAGATGGAACGTCTGCAGAAAGCTTTGGAGAGCAAGAGGTATCGACCCTATTCTAGACGTGGATCGAGCACCTCACGTGGGAGGGAGTATCAGTCTGAGAAAGGTTGGCGGGAGAGCCGATTGAACGAGGAACAACTTGCTATAGAGGCGAAGCATAACGTGAGATCGACGGTGGAGTACATAACTGATCTGACATTGTTGCTTGCCGCTGTCTACGTTTATCTGTTCAAGAAGGAGACCCTGGCGATTCCCTTCATAGCGCTTCTGTTCTATAGAAGAATCCAGCATGAGATCAAGGGAAGGGTGTCGAAGGGGTGGTGGTCGTCGAAACGAAACTCATGACGAGGACACGACGAAATTTTACGACGTATTTTGAATACGGGGAGATAAAAATGGGGAGGAATATTTATGGAAATTTTGGAAATTGTACGTACGTAGGATCGATGTGCACGTGTCGAGGAGACATTTTTCAATCCTTGATATTCGGAGATCATCGTCTCTTACTCGGGATGATCGCTCGAAGAACAAATTCTTGACCTTCGATTCGACGGCATTGCAACATGCCGATTCTCGACCTTTAGGGTTGTAGACTTCGAGATGCATTCGTATGGCAATCTGTCAAGTGCGACGGTGCATCGATTGATGGCTCGTTCGATGACGGGCCAATTGTTGTATTTCATTTGAGAATTTACACACGGAACGAGTATCAAAAATGATAGTACATGTTTTACAAGAGAGATATATTTAATAGTATATGATTATAAATTATTATTATTATTATTATTATTATTATTATTATTATTATTATTTGTTGTAACTATTATTTATTCCTATTTATTATGGATATTCTTACGTGCAATAAATGTGTACATAACTGTTGAATTTAAATTTATTCTTCTTTCTGTTTTATTTTTAAATTTTTCTTATGATTTTGAATTATATATATATACTTTGTGTAATAATTACGATAAAAATTTAGGAAGAAGAGATCTTTCACGATGTTTATTATTATTTAAGAGTTAAGAAATAAATTGTAGAAATAAAGCGATCGCTTTACAATTTTAGCCAAGACGTTTATTGTATAAGCCTTACATTCTATTTTAATTTCATCTAGATTTTAAGCCTCTCTACCGATATCATGACCACGACAATTACGTTTCTGTTGGCCAGGAATCTATTCTGTTCCTTATTTAAGTCTGACGCTCCACTTTAACACAAAAGCAAATCTTAAGATAATAATCATGATAACGGAATTATTGGTATCCGTATTGCTCATAGTTGAATTCATTAGTTTCAAATTTTTAATTATCAAATTATAAGATTTTTTTATTTCGAGAAATCTTGCAAAAAATTTATCAATCACTGAATTCGTATTATTAGTCAAGAATCTCGAATTCCTCCTGTTCCAAAATTAACGTCGTATTTCATCATTAAACTATATATTAGCTGGCAAATCAATCATTCCATTTTAGTCAATTAAATATTATCTCTTCCAAATTCAAGAAATTCATCCCCTTCATTAGAAGATAAAATAGTAAAAATGGTCAATTATATTTTTATTTTAATTTTAATCAAAAATATATATTTATTTGTACTAACAATTAGAAAATAGTGGAAAATTTAAAATATTGTTATCTGTAGAATGATAAATTAATAAGAAAATCATTCGAAAACTCGACAGATTGGAATATTATGCAAAAGAAATAAGAAGAATTTAAATGAAAATTAAATTAATTCGTCATAAATATTATGTTATTACAATCTAGACAATGTATAAATGATTCTCCTAAAATTCAGTGAACTATAATTCTATAATAATATTTAAGCTGTTAATTTTTTAAGATACTCCAAATCATTTAATAATTTTTAAACTTCTCTGTGAAATTCTTTGAATTCTATTATTTAGAAAAACTTACCAATCTAATATCTTACAATCCAAAAACGAAATTCAGATCGAAAATAAAATAAAAAAAAAAAAGGTCAAAGAAAGAAGAAAAGCGTAGCCCGAGAGAGAAAGAGAAAATTCAAAATTATTCGAAGCAATGCGCCAGGTCACGTCAGGGATAGATAGAAAGCTACCACAATAATAACCAATTACCTCCAAAAAGAAAAACCAAAATCGAGAAATCGAAAAAACCAAAGAAAAAAGAGAAGAAACTCCACTTATAAGAAGAAGAAGAAGATTAAAAATTATTCCAAGTTACGAAATGCGCCGGGTCGCGTTAGATCCACAATAATAACCACTATATACCGATTATCTACCAAATCCAAAGAAGAAGAAGAAGAAGAAGAAGAAAATCCAAAACAAAGCGGGAGGGAAAAAGAAGAAACAAGAGAAGAAAGTCAAATCTCACCACTTGTAAGAGAGAGAGAGAGTGAAAGTTATTCAAAGATAAAAAAACAGCGATGCGCCGGGTTACATCAGGAGAATAGATAGGAGGGGCGTTCCTCTCGAAAGGGGGAGAAAGGGAGAAAGAGGCGTACAGGAAGCTCGGCTCGCCCCTACCGCGCATGTGCGCGTTTCGTTAAAACGACGAAGCCGAGAGTGGCGTGTCGAGACGATTTTAGACCGGAGCAGGGCCTCCCGCCGTCAGATTTCGTGGCGCAGGGTGTGCTTGTGCCACGGGTCACCAGCGCGAAGAGAGGAGCACGGTCGAAGGGAGAAGACGGAAGCTTCTTTGGCGGCCGAGGCGGCGTACGCCGCGACCGGAAGGACGTGCAGGTTGCATCTCAATTCGTCGTCAATCAATCGAACGCGAGTGTTCCCCCTTCGCGAGTGATGTCAATTCGAGGAGGAATCGGTTTCCCCAACGTCTGACGAGATGACCTTAACAGGTAAGCGGTTGCCGCGTATTAGAACGCTTCTTAGATTCGCGAATATGCGTCTCAGAGAGACAGAAAGAGAAAGTTTCTCGAGAAAGAAAAGTCTTAGAATGAAAGGGGATTCTCGATATTGCGAGAACGAAAACTTCATCGATTTTATGTTATCTATCTTGTTGTAAATTTCGTTATGTATACGAGATAGAATGAAAGAAAAATCGGAATATCGCGAATTCGACACGATTCATCTCGATCGAAAAGATGGAATAGAAATCGAGTTTCTCTCCGTTTCCATAGAAATCATGCATCGATGACGTTTCACACAAATTTTCTTAGATTGGTGTTGAACATTTCGAGGATTCTTTCAAGTATCGATCAACGTAATTGTAATCGTAATTCCACGATTTGTTACATAAAAATCTCGAGGCTTGCCGGTGGTCGAAGGCTCGGTATTTATACGCGGTAATAACACGCGTTTACGAATCTGCGTTTAAAAATAAGAGCAAAACTGTTTTTAACCGGGCATTTCAATCGCGGCAGGGAACGACGACGCGAGGATGTAGTTGGGGAAAAAAAATGTGATGAGCGTCGCGTTGAAAATGGAACCAAGTGTCGCGGCCATGTTTATTTTTTTTTTACCGTATTTATTTACAGGGATGCCGGGCGCTCGGAATTCCTTCCGAATTCGCGAATTTTTTACATCAAACGAAATGTATATAAATTCGACGGATGGGAAGAGATAGGCCACGTTTTATATTCTTCCAAAGCGGTTCCCATCTTGGCTTTCACCGCTCAGACGTCTATATTTACGCCCGCGATTTTCGTCTGCGCGTACGTTTTCCGTGGCCATTTTGGAGACCACGTGAGCGGCCGAATACCAGATAGCGATCGCGAATAATAAATTTTCGAACGTCGTTGCGAATATATCGGATCTCGTCTCCTCTGATTCTTCGAATCAATATCATATATTTGAAAACCATACCAAAAATCGAAGGAGATTCCAATATATGGATATCGATTCGAAATCGATAAAATTACAAAAAAAAAAATGTAAAATTATAAGAAATTCGAAATGATTGCGCGTAAGAAGAAAATCATTCACCATAAAATAGGAAATTTTATATAGTTGAAGTATATCGTCATTTAATTGAAAAATAAATAATTGAAGTATATTGTTGAAGTATATCATCATTTAATTGAAAAGTAAATAGTTGAAGTATATAGTTGAAGTATATCGTCATTTAATTGAAAAGGGAACACGGTTCTTCCTTCAAAATGTTCCTTCCAATTCACCTTCCAATAAATAGTCGATTTAATTAATTTATTATTATTTATTATCGTATAATTTTATCGATTTAACAATTGAAATAATCTTATATTTTATGAAAATAGAATTTCTATGCAAAATTTTTTATTGTAAAAAGAGATAGTAATCGTTATTATTAATCTGTTTCATTACATGTGCAATTGGTTACAGACAACATGACGAAAGCTAAAGGACCGCCACGATGGCTGGACCCGGACCAGGCACTTCCGGTTCAGGGACGCGTCGGTGAAGACATCGTTATCGAGCCGAGATTACGATGGTCCGATGTTTTCGACGAGCTACGATTTGAACTGTAAGTATTATCTCTTTATTTTAATTTATCTCGAATATTTAGATATTGGATGAAGTGATAGAAATGTTTCCAACCTTCTAACGATTTCGATGGTTTAATAATAATCAAGCATTTGTTTACTGAAGTATGGTCATTTGTTCCTTTTTGAAGAAGCTTGTAGTTCAATTTGGATTAATGATTTCTGTGATAAACTCGTTTGACGTGGATTTTAATTTATCAATTATTCTGCCTTTTACGTGTCGAATTGTTATTTTTTATGACAATATATATAATAACAATATAATATGACAATATATTTATGACAATATAATAACAAATAACTCATCGATATGATAGACTTTGCTGTTCTGATGAATTTAATGTGTGTTTAATATTGGTCAAATAATCATTTTGCTCTTTCTTTTTGAAGAAATTTGTAATAAATTAATCTGTTTCTGATTGATCTTGTTCGACACATTTATTTAATTCTATCGTCAAAGTCGTATAATTAGATCGATCTTAAAAAGTTTGTTCATCTCTTTTGAATAAATTTTTTCTAAAAATTAAAATTTCTACAGATCTACAATATGAAATTTAGATTCGAAATAAATCGATAAATATTTATTTAAAACTTTTCAAACAAATTCCATAGTTTACTACACACGACGCATGATTACAATTACTCAACAAGAATAATTATAACGTGAAAGTAGAATCTACTTTACGAGTACATTGCTGTTCGAATGGCGGGTTCACGGCCCCTGTTTTGTTTCGCCTCGTACTACAATGATCGAGTATCGTCGTTTACCCGTTATCGTTCATTCTCGACTATTGGCCCTAATTCCGTGGAAACCTTGAAACGTGCCAAGGATCGAACGCAGTTTATTTCGAGCTGTCGCGCACTTAATTTTCGCGAAGTTACCAAATTGCACCGCCGTCCCGTGTAATCTTTGCATATAATTCCCGGTTCAAATTTTCCAATGCCAGAAACGTAATCGATCGATTATTTCCAATTTTCATAATGGAGAAAGGAAAATATTTCTTCATCGAATTTTTCTTCAACGAGAGAAGAAAAGAAGAAAGAAGTATATCAATTGTGATATCGTGTCGATTGAAAGTTTGAAACTGTTGATCGTTTTAACGCTTTAAATTATGAAAGAAATGCTTTAGACAGGAATCTTTGATTCAAGTTAAATTGATTCAAGTAATAGAATTAAAATTTTTTTAATATAACAAGAGTCATACAGTAAGATTGTAGTTACGCTCATTATGAATGTCAGTTAATTTAATTTATTAGGTGTCATGGTGTCTATTTGGGGATTATAAAGAGAATGTATAATAAGTGCAATCTTTCTTAAAGATATTACTTAATGTTAAAAACTCGTATTTTAATTATGAGCCTATTAAGATCTATAAAGTTGCATAATAATTTTTGAAAAATATGCATTGAGTTACTTAATAAATATGAAAATTTTCAATTCGAGGTAGTTTTTTAGCAATCATTAAGATAATAAATTTCGTCTAGGAAGGTGAAAGATATTGAACGCTTATTTTGGGAACGCAAAACATGACCTCATCTAGTCTCGCCGCTTAAATAAGACAAGAAGAGTGATGGATCGATGATATTTGTCGTCTTTTTCGAACAATTTGTCATCTGAATCACATTACTTGCTCCTGCCTCGTTCTCCAACCCTTTTCGTCAAAGAAAAGTCACATTTATAGGATATATAATTATCAAACATTTATATTTCAAATATTTTCTGTTAATAAAATCGTAAAATGAAAAACCTCAATTTCTTTTCCAAATTTGTCCAAAATTATTTTAGAAACAGATCAAATAATAACAATTTGCAAATTTAATAGAATTCTGGACACATAAAATTTTCTATACACCATATATTAGATAAGGATCTATTGAAGTATCATAAATTTCCATTCCAAATAATTCGCGATCTAAAATATCCAAATTACATTTAAAATTCAGACTAACTCTTATTGTTACAAACACCTTAAATAGGAGTGAAAATTATAATCACAACTATGACTTAATAAAGAATTACTTAGAGTAAGAATTGGAAAGAAATTTCCTTCAATCTCAAGTGAGTGAGATATTTCATCAGAAGAATAAAAAACTGATTTTTATTATTACACAATTAATTTTTCATACAAAACATTCAAACCAATCGCTCAAAAAAACCTGCCGTCGTCGAGTCAGTTCCAAACGAAAAGTTCCTCCCATAGAAAATGGAAAACATTCGAAAATCGGTACTCGCATCTGTTGGCAGGCGGAGTACGCTTCCCCTGACCATTCAGACGCTACGTCACACCGACGACGGAAGCTTCCCTCTCGCCTACGTGGTTAAGAAAATTCCGGCAAGCGTTGACGCTCCTCCACCCCCCCCCCTCCGCCTAATGCAAATCTAAATCTAAACCTAGCTCGCGAAAATTTTCGCGAAAAGACGAAAGTGGCGCTGCCCGTTGGAGGTTTCTCTCGCGTCTAGGATGGTGGACGACGCTTGCTTATAGTTTCCTTCGAACTGTAGCGGAAGGTGGCTGTTGTGGAGGTGGAAAATCGGGCGCGGACGATCCTCCTCCGGCATCTCGCTATCAGTCTTCCGAGGGAGCGTCGCGACGATCGACGAGCGGCCAAAAAATCAGCTCGAACCTCTCTCTTTCTCTCTTTTTCCTCTCTTTCTTTCTTTCTCTCTTTCCCTCCTCTCTTCTCTATTCCCCACTCTAAAAACATTTTACACGAAGAGTTAATTGGAACAGAGAGAATCTGAGCGAAGAGATCGAGACTGACAGATCGCTCGACGATCGGACGCTACCTCCCTTCCCCTTCTCTGGCATCTCTAAATATCTAAATCTTTCTTCCTTTCTCCCCCTCCCTCTCCCTTTTGACGCAGAGAATCGAATTTATTATGTATCAATAAGTGAACAGCGGACGAATAACGAAAGTAACAAGAAAGTGCAAGAAGAAATTCGTCGAATTGATGGAAGAGTGAACGTATGATGAAAGTGTGAATATTTTATTATTGACGACGGTTATGCTACTACGATGGAGCATAGAATGACATAGATAGGTGCGATGTCGGGGTTCCAATAGTCGAGGTGAAGTCATCGAGAATACGTTTCAGGCACGAGAGGACGCCTTTTCGGTTTTATTTTTGCGCCCCTGTCACCGTCGATATCGCGATCGATAAATAACGCATTGGCGGTGAGGCCAATGCGTATTAGGCGTCCGTGATCAACGTTCACCGATCGAATAAGCATCGATGAGGGTGGGCGGCGGCGAGAGGAAGGATCGATGCATCGGTTCGGATTTCATCCGCCTCTTCGACCCTTGCTCGACCCTCGATCCACCCGGGACGTTTGAGGTTCGAGGAACTCGCGAGTGATAAATAGTTTTGGATTGGTTGTGAGTGGTGAATCTTGATTGAGTGGTGGAAAAAAAAAAGAAAAAAGTGTGTGGTAAGACCTCGCGCCTCGTGGGAAGATGGGAAGCGACTGTTGCAAATGCGCCAATGGCAACAAACAACACTCCATTACGGGATCGTTTAGGGAACGTTCTGGATACCGGTAGGACGATTTTCATTATTGTTTAAACTTTTGTAATAATCTCGAACGAAATTATTCGTGTAACTATTTTAATTGTTTATTATTCATTTTGAAATTGATCGATTTAAATATAATAATCGTATAAATCCTATATATAAATCATTCTAGAAAGAATTTCAAATTCACTTATTTATATTATGAAGCGTCTAAAAATTAAAATTCAAATTGAAATTCCATCGAAATTCTTTCCTCTGTATAAGTATCCCGTAAAAGTCTTAAAATACGAATCATAGAAGTTTTGAGAGTGTTCATCAACAGGAATCGTTTTATTGAGACTGTTCTTAGGGAACGATGGTCATAGACTATATTGCGTATCGAGAGATCTTGCACGTTTCCATTCTCCGTCTAAAAGCGTCTAAATAAAAATCGGTTGCACGCTTCCAACGTATTTCGAGCAAACAAATGATCTAGAGCGCCTCAAACACTTGGCATTGCTCTACTGCCCTATTTTCGTCGTCTTTTTACACGGCCGTGCAAGCATGGCGACGCAAACGTGTCGTTGGACCGCGGGAAACGCGCGTATTGCCCGGATTTTTTGGACGGTTTGGATCATCGAGATATCTTTCTACGATCTAGAAACACCGTCTCCTTCTTCTGTCGTTTTGATACGATGTTGGATATCTTCCGCAGATTTGGAGCAAAGTTGTGATCGATTGTGATAGATATAAAGATATCTCCTTTCTTCTTGTTGTTATCGTTTACTTTGATCCCATGAGTTATTCGACGAGAATGATATATATATATATACAATAATATTTTTATTTATATCGAAAGAGTAATACAATTGACTCTCGAAACAAACAGCTTTATCTCGATGGAAAATTGATATGAATACGATATTGCTTCAATATAATTAAAATTATAATAAATTTCTTCACTTTAAAAGAATATTATTACAAGTTTTGTATAATATTATCTTCTTATTACATTTTAATCAAACAATATTTTCGAATAATCTTGAAACATTTTATCCATTTTCCCCAAAACAAATTTATTAAATGAAACAACATTTTAAAACAGTGTTTCCTTACTTGGAAATATATCCCAATTAAGATACTTGGTCCCAAATTATTTCAAATTTTCTCCAATGATTCTTCCAAGAGAGAAAACGGATTCATCATTCATCGATCCCTGCAATTTGTTTCGCAGCCTTGGTAACAGAAAACGACGATCAGATCGATCACGAAACGTTGAATTTATTTAGTTAGACGAAATAGACATTGCGTCACCGGCGGGTTCGGCGAGGAGAGGCGCCTGTGCACGCGCCTCCCCGAGGTCGAGAAGGGCGCGAATTTTACAAGGTATTGCGCAAACGAAGATTTTCTATACGAACGAATTGAATGAGCGGCGCAAATAATAGAATCTTTTCGACCGTCTGCCATACCGGTGAAAAAATAGAAGAAAGAGGATGATCGCCGGTCCGATTGGACATCGGCCATCGCCCCCCGGCGGAAATTGGCATTTGGATATTGCAAAACCGACCTCGTTCCATTAGAAAGTGTTCCTACTTTTCTTGCTGGCAACCGATTCGTCTGTGTTTTCCAATCGATCGTTGGTCCGAGGCTATTAGTACTATCTCTTTCGTTTCTTCTCTCTTTCTCGCCAAATCGATTCGTTGTCAATTAATCCATCGGTTTGAACATCGTCATCATGTTTTCTGTACATGGAGATTTATGGTAGTTAAAGATCAATAGATTCAGTTAGAATTTGTGAGTTTTTTCATATTGAAAATTGATGGAATAATTGTCCTCAAAGGCAATACAGTCTCTTGTGAGAGTCTATATATTCGTGAATAGATCGATCAATAAAGTTAAATTAAATTATCTCAGTTAAATAATTCAGAAGGTCAAATTGGACAGGAGTTTAATATACATATGCATGCGATCTTTTGAGCAAGGAAAAAATTATGATTTCCATCATGCTTTTATGATTCAACCACCATTCATATCGCAGTGCGGTTTTCTTGAATGAATGAAGAGAGAAATGTGACTGGGAATAATTTTAACACGGATGACGAAATGAAGGATTCAACGTTGGGAAATCGAATATAAATTTTTTTACGATACACGTAAATTAGTTTCTTGTTACTTGCAAATGTTACGTGGCTATATATAAATAGTATTTATGTTTCTATTGATAATAAAAAATTTTATTCTTTATCCATATTCTTTTTAAACAATTGATACTCATTAATTTTATTATACGTGTAATTTTATGTACGATTTGTAGACAAAAATTTTAGGGTTTTTTGATTGATATTGATTGACTATTTGTTGCTGACTATTACTGCATTCTTTATAATTCAAATTCAAAATGATTTTATTGCTCACTTATTCCTATCCAAAAAAAGAAAATGTATACACCTTAATGAACATCTCTCTGAATATTCTTTTAATTTAATTTTTGTACTTTTAAAAAATTACAAAATATTACCAATATCACTCTTTTCACCCCGAAATGAAATCTCGATGAGTTGCTAGATTCGTAAAGCTAGAAATGTATGGAATGTGTACATAAGATGTTAGAATTCGTTTCCATTGGTCTGTTGTTTCAAAGCAAAAGCGATTTGTTCCAACGGTATTTATAGAACGCCCACGTATACCTAGAAATCGTAACTCACTAGTGTTATCCACGAGGTTACCTGTCTTTCATGTGATTCCGTGAATGATTGGATAATCGATGAAAGAAAGACGAGGGTTTATAGCTACCCGATTCCATTTAGAATTGTGTTCAATTTGTGAAATGTAAATCTTACGATTTACAAATTAACAAATAGTGAAAATAGAGCGTTTAATATTTTGGGATACTTTCAACGATATATGGATGTATATTTCGTGAAGATTAAATTTCGTTGAAATTTATTCAAATCGTTAATATAATTACTGTTTGTTTCGAACAATATTGGAATAATTTAATTGGAAGAATTTAAAGAAAATATTTTAGTCCACTGGTGTTTATTTTAACTTATTTCAAATTTTCCTGCCTCCCACGTAATGTCTACGTATATTATAGCAATAGTAAATGTCAAAGGTGGCGTGCATCTCGATGATTAATTAAATATTAAAACCATTGCTATTATTATTAAACAAATAAAAAATATGATAAATATTTATTTTTACAATATAATACAATTTTTAAATGTTTTCTAATCCAGAATAAATCACTGTTGAACGCGTGTAAATCGTAAATTATTAATAATTTCCAAGAAATTACGAAAAATTGCGGTTTGTTTTATCAAAGATCAAAAGACATATAGATAATATTATTAATAGTACAATAAAATATTTAACTCCTAAGTTTTCAAAATGACGTAAATGTATAGCACATTATGAAGATTTTTATATATCATTTAATTATGATACTCATTTAAAAAGTATAATATAACATTCACAGAGTTTAATCAGATTTTCAACGACGATTTTTGATCTAATTACAGAATACGCGGGGATGTACCGATACCGTCCGACAGATACAGGGTGCAAATGAGGGGGAACGTCGTCCAATTGACCCTGAAGCAGTCGCAAAAGGACGACACTGGACATTACGCTCTTGTGGCCACGAGAGTTGGCCAAGGATTCGAGAAAGGATCCTCCAAAAAGATTCATCTCAGCGTGGACGAGGCCGTCTCGGAAGAGGGTGATCCACCGATCTTCCTTCGAAGATTGACAGACCTTGCTGTTAAAGTTGGCACCAGGACCAGATTCCTCGTGGAAATTCGAAGTTCGACCACACCGAAGGTAATTATTCATTGATCAATTAATTAATCAATTAATCAATCCTTAACCATTTTTTCATTTTCTTAATATACTCGATAATAAATAAATAATCAAGTTTCGATTGACAGAAAGTAGAATCGTTTTCTCGCTTATATTAGAATTAATTAATCTTTAACCATTTTATTTTCTTAATATACTCGATAATAAATGAATAATTAAGTTGATAAAATAGAATCCTTTTCTCGTTTAAATTAGAATTTTTTTTCTAAAAAATTCTTAGATACCTTTATTTGATACCTTTGAATTACTGATCGAATGGAAATAAATATTTGATTTAAAGCATGGAATAATTTAATAATAATTCAAGACTTGTTAAACCAAACTCATTACGATTTTTGTAAATAAACTCGTCGAACGAAAATAACCCTCGCCAAATAGATAATCTTCAAATCCAGAAAAATAAACGGCATAACTTGTAAAAAAAAAAAAAAAAAAAAAATTAAAACCTAATTAAAACTTATAATTAAAAATAAACCGTCTACGAGAAACAACGAAAATAAAACAAACGAAACTAATCAATCAAATTGAAAGAAACACTGGCAACAACGCTGACGAAAAGAAACCCTCTCGAATCAACTGAAATTAAGGAGCGCCTAACGTTCCAAAATTGGTAGGCCGGGCGAGGCAAGATGGAATCCGTGCCAACGTCGGTGATTAACCCGGAAGGGTTGCGATCGAAATCACCCGGTGACTTATTACGGATCTCTGCTCCCACTTTTTGCCTTCGAAGCGGGAAACGCGGGCTAAAAGGGAGCCAAGAGGTCCATGACCCGGGATTCAGAGACGGAAGGCGAAGAGAAACGGTCGTTACGCGTCGTATTACGACTATTATTACGCTCGCGCGTATACTATGGCCCCCGAGGTATGCCCCCGGATCGGCTAAATCCGCGTTAAGTCTCTGCTCTCCGCGAGAGAGAGAGAGAGAGAGAGAGAGAGAGAGAGAGAGAGAGACTGTTGTAAACTCTCGTTTTCCACGGTGCTCTCTTTCAGAGGATTGCGTAATGGTTGGAGGGATTGTGGGAAGGAAGATTGGAATTATTGGAAATTATTGGAATATGGAAGGAAAAATGTGGCAAAGGGAATTTGTGAATTTTGATTTTTTATAGATATATACAATTATTTAAGTTACTTTAAGTTATTTTTTTCTGTGCGAAGTAATATTTCAAAAAAATTTTTTTGAGAGAAGAGATTTGGAATAGATTGTAGAAAATTATCGTAAGGATTCGTTATTTGTTTATTTATATTTAGTGTGAATATTGTTTGTAATATAATTCTAAGGAATCTGAGAAATTAATACTTTAAAATTGTTCTTCTCCATTTCAAAAATTAATCTTGTAGGAAGTATTTATTGCATGCAATTTGAAAAGGCAAGATTTTGAATGATAGAGAAGATTGGGAAATTATTGGAAATAATTTATAATTAATAATTTATAATTTATAATTAATAATTTTATAATTAATAATTATAAAAAATATTATTGATAATTAATATTATTGATAATTAATTAAAAATAAATATTATTGATAATAATTAATAATATAAATAATTATTGAAAATATGGCAAAGAGAATTTGTGAATTTTGATTTTTTTATAGATACATAGTTGTTTAAGCTTTTTTTTGAAATGTTTCTCTCTATGCGAGATAATTTTGTGATTTGAAATAGATTAAAAATTATCATAAGAATTTTGTTTCTACTTAGTGTGAATATTATTTATAATTCTAAAGAATCTAAAAAAATTAAAACCTTAAAATTCTTTTCCAAAAATTGATCTTCTAGAAACTATCTATCATATACATAATCTAAAAAATTAAAAGATTTTTCTTCGTCGTTACAGAATAATCAAATTTTCAATTTCGATTTTTCGTACTCTAATCATTATCTCAAAACCTCAACAATAATCATCCTTTCCAAAATTAAATTCTTTTAATCTTCGTTCCCAAACTTTGTTGCAACAAAGTTAATAATATCTTAATAAAAAGATATCGAATACAATACAATTTTAAAAACCAAAATTCTTCCATCTCTATTAATTACCAGGATATTACTTACTCCTTTTTTTCGTAAATTAAATAAACTTCAAAAAAGCATTTACCGTTTAACCTGTCTTTTATTATTTCCACGAGGGCGTTTGATAGGTCGTTGACGTCAACTCGCCGCCGTTTAAATCTCGCAACGGTGTCCTTCTTCTTGAATTCCAGATCACTTGGCACAGAAATGCCGAGCAGATACACGCCGGTACGAGATTCTCCTTCGTCCACGAGGGAAACTTCTACTGCGTCGACGTGGCTCCCGTCACGGTCGAGGACGAAGGGCACTGGACCTGCATGGCGGAGAATCGAGGGGGGCGATCGTCCTGCACGTCTCGCCTCACCGTGATCGGTAAGGATAAGGCGTGTCAAATTCGACGAGACGTTACAGCGAGACATTTCCAGAAACTCGGCTCAGTGGCTAAATGCATTCTCTTGTTGCCGAAAATAGAAATCGAGCCGAACGGTGGACAGCGTTTTGGGATTCGGAGATAGAGAGATAGATTCTGGCCAGAGAAATTGCGAAATTTCTATAGTAACTTGCTTTCTTAAAAAAAAGAAAAAGAAAAGAAATTAAACTTAGATTAGTATTGGAATATTTAAAATTTTTTTCTTAAATTTCGAGAATTTTTCTCAATTTTTTTTTTATTTGTATGACGAATTTGAAAATTTATCAGGAATTTGGAAACGAATTGTGGTTGATAAGATTGCGAAATTTTTATAAGGAATGTAATTTTAAACTTTGTTTCTATTGAATTTTCTTGATTCTAAAAATAAAATGGAAGATATTGATTCGTATCTTTCTCTAAATTATTTTTTTTTTAAATATTCTTTTATGAATTGAATTTTGAAACGTATATACTGTACTTTCAAGTTTTGAATACTTGCTTCTTTTTATAAGTTTTTATCACTTTTCTTATCCTTTAGCTTAAATTCTTGAAGAATTTTTATGTACGAAAAATCATTAAGAAAAATATTTGAAATAATCGAACATTTCTTTCCTCTTTGAAAAGAGGATATTTTGAAATTTATTTTTATTCCATTATTATAAATTTATTTTGTATTTTATTTCGAATGTGATCATTTTTTACTTTCCATTTCAGTGTTAAGCACACGCAAGAAAAAAATTCTGAGTAATATTTTGTAATAAATAAAAGAACGATTATTATTTAGTAGATTATTTAGATTATTATTTAGTCGCATTAGTAATTCTTAAGTTACTTTATAACTCTTTCTGTCTTTTTTTTTTTTTTTCTTTATTTTAATTTACAGTCCCAAAAGCTTACAAAAGACCGGAATTCGTGGAGGAGCTACGGGCTCTCCTTACAGAAACTGGAACAGTGTCCTTGGAGTGCAAGGTAGTCGGTGTGCCCACCCCCGTGTTGAGATGGTTCAAGGACAACAAAGAAATCAAGGCTGGCGATGTGTTTGCTTTAACTGCCAACCTCGACGATCCAACATCCCTTGGAATTTACACTTGCGAGGCAGTGAATTGTATGGGAATTGCTTATTCCTCTTCAAAAGTAAGTAATTACTTAATCATTCTCTAACAAATTTCTATTTTCTCCTAAATCTATTTAAACGTGTAATAAAATAGAAAGTTCAATAAGCGTTCTAGAATATTCTCAAATTTTTTGATAAATCAATAAAAAAAAAGTAGTACGATAAATATACTTGTTGAAAGTTAAAAAAATTCAATTGAAACAAAATTAATCAAATTATTGTGCAATCTAACTATTGATTTGTTTTCTCAGGTACATGTAGTCGGAAAAGGTAGCAGGGAGGGTTCTCTGAAACCAGCTGATTCCTTGACACCGTCCGGTCCTCTTCCTATCTTCACGAAGATTCTGCAAGACGAGTGTTGCAGGATTGGAGACACTCTCAGGCTTTCTTGTCAAGGTATAAAAATCTTTCTTCTTTATTTTTTTATTATATACGAATACTTTTAGCAAATTTATTCAAATACAAATATAATTATAAAGGTTTCGATGTATACAAAAATATATCAAATATTGTAGATTAGATATTTTTGTGTTTATTGTTATTGAGTTATTTTTCTAATTAATCAACAAAATTTATTTACAATTTCAATTTTTATGCTACAATAGTTCAAGTACCACCATGGCCGAGAGCAATTACGTGGTACAACAAGGAGGGGCGCATCGAGGCCAGCGAAAAGTACCACGTGATGGAAGATGGCCTTGGTGGATACTCCATAGAGGTAAACCCTGTCGAAGCCATGGACGAGGGCGAGTGGAAGTGCGTCGCCACGAGCGCTGAAGATATGAAACAGTTTACTACTTGCCACGTTGCAATGTCCAGTAAGTAGAAAAATCTCTTTTTAATTTAATTGGATTTTGGAAATTTATTATATATTTAAATTTATTTGAATATTAGGTAAATTTTATTATCATTTGATAAAGAATTTTTAATTTGAGAGAAATATATTTTTTCTTTTGTTCTCGTAATCGAAAAATTTAAAATATATCTCTTTTACTTTTTTACTAGAGATGATATATCTAATAATATGCACTTTAATAAAAAATTTTAAATTTTCAAAATGAAATATAACAATTTCATAATCTTTGTAAAAATTACTTTGGAATGTATTATCCTATCAGTCTTGAAAAAGTTAAGTCAATTATCTTTGATAAGCATTGACAAATTATTATTAAATAATAATAATCAAGTCAAAAATAAATTTTTTCCAAGTTTTTTAAGAAAATTAGAAAATGAGGAATGATATTTAAGAATTCTAAGATTTCAGAATTAATTGAAATTAATTAATAAAATAGAATTATTGCATTACATGATATATAGGATTATTGCTAAAAGTTCATCAATTATATAATATCAAAAATAATTGTTTTATTCGTCAAGTTCCAAAGAACTACAGGAAACCACGCTTCATGGAAAGCTTGAAAGCTGTCTTAACGGAAGAAGGTCTGGTGTCGTTCGAGTGCAAGGTTGTAGGATTCCCTACGCCATTGCTAAGGTGGTTCAAAGATGGCCAAGAATTAAAACCAGGAGATGTTTATCAATTGACCGGGACTAACTCCTTAGGTATCGATTTTAAAAAAATTTGAAATATCGAAATTATTAATTAGATTGATTGTTTAATTATGAACTTTATCAATTCGATTATCAGCTAATTTAATTTTTAATCATTTAATTTTAACACTTTTAAGAATTTTAATATACTTTTAACTTTAGAAATTTTCATATCAATTATTCAAAGTTATGTATTTTCAATTTTATTAATCTTTTTTCAGAATCTAATTAAAATGGAAAAAAATTTTCCATTTCACATAACAAATAAAGCAAATGGCCAATTATTTTATCTTTTAGATTAATAAATACTCTTATCGGAATTGTAATCTGAATTTATTCGTCAAATTATTTATTTTTAATTATTAATTTTATTAATTCATTAACAATTATAATTTTATGATTTTAATATTTTTCATTTTCATTTCGATAAGGTTCCTATTGTTGCATTGCAAGAAATTGTATGGGAGAGGCAAAGAGTACAGCCGAATTAACGATCGAAGATATTCAAAATCAATTAAACGAAGAAGAACGGCTGCAATTGTTAAATACGAATCAACCGCCCATTTTTATGAAAGGTCTTAGAAGTTGCGAGGCGAGGATCAACGAAGATTTTCGATTTACAGTACAAGGTAATGATTGCAAATTTCCATATAATTTTAATCATAAATCGAATGCTAAAAATGACAAATCATTTTTTTTAAATTAATAATTCTATCATTATTATAGATTCTTTTATTAAAATCATGTATAAAAATGAAATTTTCTTTCTTTTCTTTCAATCTTATTTGTAAATAAACTCAATCGAAACAAATATTCTAAATCTTATTTTTATTATTAATTTTTAATAATAAATTTAATATTCCAAAGCCATTTTTACGTTACTGTAATATTAAAATTAATATACTAATTTTTATTTTAATTATTTCTTATAATATACTTAAATTCTGGTTTAAATATAACGAATTTATCCTTATTTAAACATTCTCTGATAATTTCCAATTTTTCTAAATCTTTCAATTATTAATTTAATTTATAAACATAAGAGACACGATTTTTCATGAACGCAATATTTCAAATGACATTTATCCTCCAAAATTTCGCAGTCAGTATTTCCCCAGAGCCAAGCTTCTCTTGGTACAGGGACGATACACCGGTGGAGGAGAACGAGAGATACCGAGTTGCCAAGGAAAATCTTGGCATCTGCCATCTCGATGTACAAAAACTCGAATTCGTCGATCAAGTGAGTGTATTATGTCTCGTTTAAGAAAGCAATATAATAATTAGAAAAAAAAAAAAAAAAAGGAAGAAAAATTACGAGAAATTCATTGTCGTACCGTACAGGCCGAGTGGAAGTGCGTTGCTTCCAACGATCACGGTCAAAGCATCACTTCCTGTTTTCTGAAACTAATCATTCCCAAGCATTACAAGAAACCGAAATTTCTTGAGAGTTTGCGCGCCATATTGTCGGACGAGGGCGCCGTGAACTTGGAGTGCAAAGTGATCGGTGTTCCGCAACCGATTCTCAAATGGTACAAAGATGGCGTCGAATTGAAGCCAGGAGACATTCACAGGATCATTTCCGGGCAAGATGGCACCTGTTGTCTCGGAACTTACACCTGCGAGGCGACCAATTGCATGGGAACTGTCAGCAGTTCTGCCTCTCTTCTTGGCTTCGAAGGTAGATTGAAATTAAGATTTTCATCAAGTAAATATAATAAAAGTAAATATAATAAAATATATAAAAAAATATATAAAATATATTATAATAAATAATTACAATATAAAGTAGAACATTTATTAAGAAATATAGATACAAGTGAAATTGATTTAAACAACATTTATTAAAATTGTTTAAAATATTCGAAATACTTGTTTAATAATAGATAAACTGCCTTTTAATAGATAAACTGCCCGTTCGAAAGGAAATGAAGGAACCACAATCTCCAAACGGCCACGAACTTGCCAGAAATTTGTCGCTCTCAACAATTCATGAAGAAAGAACGTCTCAATTGTACGATACACCCCAAACCGACCATTCCGTCACGTTAGACGATCGAGGGGAAGTGTCATTCAGCTTCGATGGTAAAGAGGTCTCCGTCAGCCTCTACGAAACCCCTGATCTCACCGAAGAAGAAGCTCTTCAAATTGTCGAGATGTACGCTGATCAATTGTCTGAACATGTTACAGGTAAGTACATGTATAATATATATAAATAATTTTATTATTACTTACAAAAATACACAAAAACATTCATTTTCAAATAAAATTACTATTATATAAATTATTCTCTATTATCTAATTTTAAGAATTTTGAATTTTGAAAAAGATATTGATATTAAAATATATTATTAACCTATCGATTATATAATTGGATCAGTATAGTTTGTAAATTTATAATTTTTATGATTACACATTTATTTTATTATTTTTCTATATCCTCCTATTAAATTCTACAAAAGAAAAAAGAGATAACAAAAAAAATGATTATGAATTTCAAATTTCTTCTCACTCTTTATCTTTTAGAGCACAACGTGATCGAACTTCCGCCAATGCGATTCGTAAAAGAGTCCTCTAATTCTGGTAACCTGTTGATGGAGGCAGTGGTGATCGACGTGTCTCCAGACTACTTCGTCAGCGCGGAAGACGGCGACGACCTTCGTACAGAAGCCGACTTCGAGGACGTCTCCATAATGGACGACGTGACTCGAGTCTTCTCATCCCCGGAACAAGACTCTCGCAGCTCTCTAAAGAGATCCGCCAGATACAGTTTGGACGAGGACGACAAACCACCAATTAAACCGCCCAGAAAAAAGTCGAGCTCCTCGTCGAAGAGCGAGAAAAGCGAGAAGAGTCAGAAGATGGAGTCGGAAAGCTTCCACAGCGCCCAAAGGGACGAGCCATTTTCACCAGTCTCTCCGATGTCTCCCGTATCCTCGTTAAAGCAAGACGACAGCGACACTTTCGCCGATGCTCTCTCCTCCGCAAGATTATCCATCTCTGAGAATCAAATCCAGAAGGGGAACGAAGACATTCGAGAGAGGAAACGTAGTCTGAGCGGTGAGAAAACGGCCGGTTCCAGCGTGGACGATGGGATAGGCGGCGACTCCTCCTTCGACTCCGTAACCGGCGCTGCTAAGAAGAAGAAGAAGCATCGAAAAAAGAAGCACAAACGAGAGAAAGGTAGCTCAGAGGAATCATCTATTGCCAGTGAGATCGATGGAAAACGTAGAGAAAGTGGACCGCTAAAAGGCAACACCGAGACGCTTCAACGCATAGAGTCTATAAAGAAGATTGAAGAACCGTACGTAGAAGAAGCAGTTGACAAATCTGAGGAAAAGAAGAGCGTTAGTGAATCTGATAAATCTTTGTCGAAGAGTAACAAGGAGAGATTGTTGGACAATATGAAAAAAATGAAAGAACCCGTGCTGATAGTTCGCGACACTTTGGTCAGCATCGATAGTTTGGAGGCCAAATTAAGCAGCGGTAGCGAGGAAGAGTGTAAAAGAATCGTGAAGGAGAACGTGATCAAACCGATTCAAACGCTGTGCGAGGAAGTCTCGGCCATAGAGTCTAAGGCATTGAAGAGTGCAGGAGACAGATCGTTGAATCAGACGGTACGAATCTCCCTTTTGGAATCCATTGGAGGCCCGACCGAGGAGCTTCTTCGCGGCATGGAATTGATAGAACGCCAAGAGAACGTTAAGAACCGTAAGATGGATTTGATCGCGATTTTAGAAAGTCTCACGGATCCCGTCGACGAGATTCTGATGGGGATCACCAAGATCGAACACGAACTGACCGGTCGTGCAAAAGGTGAGAAACCTATTGCTCTGATCAGGATGACATCCGCTGTTTCTAAGCTCGATGAGAACGTGAGAGAGGTTTTAACCGTGGACAGAAAAGCTTCGCGATTAGTGGCTAGATTCGATGAGATTCTGAACACGTTGGATTTCTTCTTGAACGACGTTTCCGTGGATCCAACTAAGGGAACGATAGAAACTGTAGACACCGTTGTGGTTGAGTCTCTTTCGAAGTCTGTTGAGGACATGGCTCGAGCTTTAGGTCGTTTTTCCGCGATCGAAACAAAAATTGAAGGAGCGTCTAAAGTCATGGACGAGTTAATACTTCCGACCCGTGAACTGAAAGCGAAATTGGACACACTGAGATCAGCTTTGGAGACTTACGAGACGAGAGGAATTTTGTCGGAACATCGAACGAAATTGATAGAATCTTTGCAAGATTCTGTCGGGCAGGTCATCGAGGAGATTAACAAGGTGAAAGACGAGAAGCTGATCGAAGATCGTAAAACAGCGATGGAAGAATCTAAGCAAGATGTTCTGAAAGAGGTGAGGCTCACTCTTCAAGAAGCTTTGAGATCGTACGAAAACGTGGCGGGTAATCTTGATCCTCGATTGTCTTCGATTTTCGATCGAATTGACGAGATGTATCGAAGACTGAAGACTCCTCAGAAACGAGAGATAGGTGTAGAATCGCTGGTAAGCCTGGAAGGTCTTCTCTATTCCCTCCAATGCGCTCTTACGTCGACATTCATAGCTGAGAACTCTGAAACAGTGTTCGAGCTTTTGGAACCCGCAATCTCTCAACTGAAATCGACGATAACGAACCTGAACGAGAAATCCTTGCAATCTGTACTGGATATGGTGAATAATCTTGAGAAAACTGTTCGTGGAACTGAGAACGAACTGGAAGACACGATATCTTCGAAATCGACGCAAGGAGAGCCACAAAATTTGACTGATAGAATTTTAGATTCACTGATAGACGTTCAATCGGCTCTGAGTTCTGCTCTGCAGAGCATAGAAGACGTGGACTCGGTTACAAATGGTGCGGCGAATTCTCAAAAATTGCTAGCTTCTTCGGACATAACTGTTTGTCTTGTAGAACTCAGACAATACGTGTCTGATGTAGCTCACATAGCGATGACACTGAAAGAAGATCAAACATTGAACAGTCTGTTGGACGTGAAGGAACCGTTGATGGACCTCCGGGAAGCTCTTGCTTCGAAGGAAAGAACGTTCCAGGAACTTGAAATGATTCGTAAAATATCGATTCCCATAGAGAAATTAAAGGTAACGGTATCGAAAGTGTTGTTCCATTGTCAATCACAAGAAGCCATCAATTCGATAAAAGATTTGTCGACGATATTGGAAGAAATCGAGACTCAATTGCCAAAGACTGTGGCCCGATTGGTGGAGGCTGAAGAAGCGACCAAACATTATTTGGAAAGTTTAAACACGGACCAGAATCTTAGCAACATTCATTTCGCTCTTTCATCAGCCTTAGAGAGACACGAGAGAAGTTTTCCTGCTCACACCTCGAGTCTGACTATTTGTGTCGAAGATCTTCGACAAAATATTGGCTCGATAGCAGTGGCAATCGCCAACTTGAAGAATCCAATAGATGAACAGATCATAGGCCAGGTGTATTTGCTGAAAGATAGTCTGTTGAGCTTTCAGAGATCTCTGTTGACTCAGGAACACGAGCCTGAGGAGGAACAGATCTTGAAGGATCTGTTAAATCCAATCGAGAAGTTGAAGAGTTTGATTCAAAGGATGGTAGATAGCAAGGCAAAGACAGATTTAATTCTTCCCGTTTTGGAGCTTTTGGAAGAAATAGAAAAGGACACTCCGTTGATCGCTAAAGAGGCGTCGAAGAAGAAAGCTCGAAGAGAGGCAGAGAAATTAATTCCTAAGAAGGAGGAACCGAAGGAAGAAAAAATTAAATCGTTTGCTCTGGCTAATAGAATCAATCGATCATTGGATCCTATGAAACATTGGCTATCTACCATATCAGATGATAGTGCGAAGGATGAAGAAGAATCTGTTCTGAGCTCGACTGTTGAGGATTTAAAACGAGACGTGAACAAAATTGCTATCGAGACTTCGTACTCAGAGCCTCCTAGTGACGAAAATTTGATAGAGGCTTTGACTGGACTCCGTGAACCTTTGATAAGGTTACGAAACGCCATATCGATGTATCACGAACCAGCAGATTTGTCTACTTTGGAAGGATTAAGCAGACCCATGAAATATCTTTTGCAAACTGTCATGGATGTTCTTGGAGACCACGCTGAAGAAGAATCGTTAAGGCCTATAATTGATATTGTGGAAGAGATCGAGAACCAAATACCTATTTCTATTAAGGAAGTGCTTTACAAAAAGGAATTGAAAGAGATGGTAAAATCGATGACACAAGAAGAAAAAGAAGTAATTGGAACAATAACTTCTCAAGACATCACCATTCAGGAAGAATCTATTCCCTTGGAAACCATCGTCAGAGAGAAGGAAGAGATTATATCGAATATTTCTCAAGAAACTATTCCTGAAGGCACTTTAATGGAGAGTACTACGGTATTACCCGAAACGCAATTCACTGAATCGATAATTGAACAGACTACAGGTGAAGAGATCAGCTCTCAAAGAACGGAACAATTGCTTACGACGATAGAAGAATTGCCAAAAAGAAAAGAAGATGCGAAGAAAACAAAGAAGGAAGAAGAAATAAAGAGTTTGATTTTCTCATTGTCGAAGACGTTAGATACAGTTCAGATGGATGTGACGAGTATTTTGGAAGATTTTGAGGAACCTACGACTGGAGCCATCACTGTTCCAGTCTCTCTGTTGGCCAATTCTTTGGAAGAACTCAGAAAAACGATCTCTTCGATGCAAGTAACGATTGAAATTCGTGGAAAATCCATAGAATCTCGAGAAGAAATCGTCAATGAAACTGTTTCCATAATACAAAATCTCGTGCAGCCATTAAATGATCTCCAAAAGGTTCTTCAACAGTCTCATCAACATGGTGCTCGAGAATTGGTAATTCTAAATCATTTAATCTTACCTTTGAACGTAATCGAAACAGAAGTGGTCAACTACACAATTCAGAAGCTCGATCGAAACTCTGAATTAAAAAAGAATTGTGAACCAATTCTGAATCTTCTCAGAGACATCAAAGACACAATACCAATCGTCGTGAAAGATATACATTCTAGACAAGAGCTTCTTGGATTTCTTCGTGAGATTTCCAAACCCTTGAAGAATATCGAGGAACAAATGAAGATTCTTGAGAATCAAGCTGAGGACACATTGGAGACAGATGTAGCAAGAATTCTGGTGGAACCTTTAGATCATTTATTGAACATCATTAATGTTACATCTCAGGAACTCGAGCTATTGGATCAACGAAGAGCTATCATCGTAGAGTTTCGAAGCCTCGTTGGACCTCTAGTGGAATTTCTAAGTAGTCTTTCGATGGTTCAAAGCAGTCGAAAAAGCTTGGTTCCAGAAGGAGCATTGTTGGACGAAAGAAAAAGCGTTATTTCGAAAGCTGTGGAAGGTCTTCAGAGGCAAGCTTCGGCCATCTTGGACAGAGTCTCTAATCTAGAGGGCGCCATGATGTTCGAAGATGCATTGAACTCCTTGAAAAATGCTTCCATTTCTGTTCTGAAGCAAATTGGCAAGACTGATTATTCACGAAGATCCAGCACCGCTGAGTTCACTCTTCAATACAATCTTTCGACCTCGTTCAATCACTTAAAAAACACAATTACAACTTTGGAAAAGAGCGTGGATAAACCGATCCACGAAATAATCGCCAAATCTTTGGAACGTTTGGAGAAACAAATTACATTGTCTCAGACACATTTTATGCAAACGTACAACGAACAACGAGTTGACGAAGAAGCCATCGTAGAAGGATTTCTTTATCCGACTAACCAACTTCGATCAGCTCTAAGTACTTTAAAAGAAAAAATTGAAAAGAAAGAGATATCGATGGTTTCGAGTCAGTCTGTGACACTTTTTCAAGCTTTGGCTAATTCTACGACTGAATTGGCTTCTTCTTTATCGCTCCATCGAGCCCAATTAATTCGAGAAGGAGAATCTGAAGGATCTTCTCTTGTGGAAACTTTGTCTGCCATGGTAGATGTTTTGGAAAGTGTAAAAGGTTCTATAATAGAAATCGATAAAATGATAAACGTGGAAAAAACGACAGAAAAGAAAGTAGAAAAAGAAACAGAACAAAGAGTCGAAGAACAAAATATTTTGCCGATTACTATTACGCAGATTGAGACAATTATTGACGAGATTATCGAAGTTTCAAAGGAGGAAGTGGAAAGTGTGTTGACTATCAAAAAATTATCACCAGAAAAAGAAATAGTGACGATAGAAGAAATGAAGTCTGAGTCTGAAAAAGAAATAAAGAATGTTTCAAAAATTGATGAAGATAGTGGAGAATCTGTAATGAAAGAAATTGAATTAAAAGCAATTGAAAAAATTGAAATTCTGGAAGAAATGAAAGAAGAAAAAACAGATGATTTTCAAGATGTGAAAACAGAAAAAATTGACACTTTTGAGATAATAAAAGAAGAAAAAGAGAAAATTAAAGAAATAAAAGAAGAAAAAGTTGCAATCGCAGAAGTAATAAAAGAAGAGAAAGTGGAGACTTTGGAAGGAATGAAGGAAGAAAAAATTATTGCTCCTGAAGTGATAAAAGAAATACAACTTGAATCGCTCGAAAAAATAACAGAACAAAAGATTGAAATGCAAGAAGCAACTCAGGAAAAAGAAGAGTTTAAAACTACTGAAGAAAAAGTTGAAGATATTGAAACAAAGAGAGAAGAAAAAATTGAAACTGATGGAATGGTAGAAGAAAAAATTGAAGTTCTTGAAGAAAAAGTTAAAATCCTTGAAATAATGACAGAAGAGAAACTTAAAACTGAAGCAATAAAAAAGAAGCAAGAAAAATTTGAAATCTATGAAATTAAAGAAGAAATAAAAACTCCTGAAGAAATAATAAAAGAGCAAGTTGAAAGTTCTGAAGTAAATAAAGAAGGAAAAATTGAAATTCTTGAAGAAATGGAAAAAGAAAAAATTAAAATTCTTGATGAAATCAAACAAGAACAAAAAACTGAAACTGTTGAAATAATGAAAGAAAGTAAAGTAGAATCTCTTGAAGAAATAAAAGAAAATAAAATTGAAGATCTTGAGATAAGAAAAGAAAAAAAAGCAGAAGCAATGCCTAAAACAGAAGAATTGTTACAAACTGAAAAAATGTCAGAAATATTATCCGAAAAGACAAACGAAATAATCAAGAAAGATGAAGAAATTGAAGCATTGTTTAAAACAAAAGAAAAAGTAATAGAAAAGAAAGAAATCGTTGAAGGAAAAATAATTGAAGAAGATAAAAAAATAGAAATATTGGAAAAAAAAGAAAAAGTAGAAGAACAAGTACAAGAAAAAAAAGAAACAGAAATAATAAAAGCAGATGAAATAAAAATAGAAATATCTGAAAGTGTAAAAGAGAATGAAGAAAACACTGAAAAGAAAAAAGTAATAGAAATAAAAGAACATAGTGATAAAATTATATCTCCAAAAGTAGAAAAAGAAATTATTGAATCATTAATAGAAAAAATTGAAGAGCAGGAAAAAATAGAAGAATCACATGAAAGAATAGAAGAAGCTACACAAAAAGAACAAAAAATAGTCGCGGTATTAGAAAAGACAAAAGAAGGAAATTTGGGAACCTTACCTCAGGAAGTTGAGGAACTCACCCAAGAAGAAAAAAAATTTGAGAAAACAGAAGCAATAATAAGGAAAGAAGAATCTGTAGAAATATTAGCTGAAAAAATTGAAGAACTAGCAATAACAGAAGAAAAAGTAGACATTTTATCTGAAACACCACAGGAATTGGAAAAGATTGTAGAAAAAGTAGAAACTTCCTCTGAAGATAATCAAATGTCAATGATAAAAGAAGAAAAACCGGAAATTTTAATAGCAAAGACGGAAGAAATAATTAAAATTCCGGACAGCCAAACGACATTATCTGAAGAGACGAAACAACAAGTGGTAAGCATAGAAGAAAAATCTGAAGTACTAGAAAAATCTCAAGAAATATCTATTCTTGAAAAAAATATGGAAGAAATAAGCAAACAAAAGATAGAATTAAAAAAGGAACAAGAACAAATTTCTAAGCCAGCAGTTGGAGAAATAGAAAAACAAACGAGTAGTGAAATAGAAATGGAAAAATCTAAAAAAATAGAGGAAATATTAAATCAAGAAACAAAAATAAAAGAATCCAAAAAATCAGAATTATTAACAGAAGAACAAGATATAGAAAAAATACAAATAAAAGAAAAAATTGAAGAATCTTCTGATAAAATAAAGGATGAGATACAAAAAGATGAAAGCATAGAATTAACGATTGAAAGAAGTAAAGAAACAGTAAAACAAGAAGAAACTTTGACCGAAAAAATAGAAGAGTTGATAAAGATTGAAGAGAAAGCAAAGGAAGATAAAAAAGAAGCAAAAATAAATTCCATACAAAATATAGCATCGTCGATCAATATTATGCAACAATCCTTCAAAGAATTAACTAATCTCGTATCTATAGCTTTAGAAGAACCACTTTCATTGAGATCTGAAGAAGAAAAACGAAGAATACGAGAATTAACTGCCCTAATACAAATTCTTTACGATTTAAAAGCAACAAGTACATCGACTCGAAATACATTATCTTCTTCTTCGATCCCAGAATTAGAAGTGCAATTCATTCGTCTATTAGATACCTTAATAAACGTGGAACAAGCCACGGAAAAAATTCTTTATTTAACTCAAAAGGATCTAGCTCCAGCATTGAAGGAAAATGTGATGGTGTCGTTACAAATACTTTTAGAACCATTGAAATCTCTTCAACATGAACTTTCTTCTCTTCAACAAACAATTCTGCAACTTCCTATGGAATATTTCTTCTTATCTACAAATGCACAAAGCATAAATGAAATAATTTCTGAACTTGTAAAAGTGATAAGAAAGACAGCTGAAATGAAGAGTATGAAAGTAGTCGAAGAAATCAAAGTAATGAAATCGAAAGAAGAAAATTTAGATATCGAAGAAACCACAGCGAAGCCTCTGGAAGAACTCATAGAAGTCCTCATAGTCTCTCAGGAACAAGCAAAACCTGTTTCTCTTGATTCTGTTTCACCTTCGATAGAATCAGTCGAATTAATAGAGCAACAAGCATTAATCAGTGAAGAAGAAATGAAATTAGACACGTATCTCGTGGAACAAATAGTAACTCCAGTACAAAATCTGCGTGAAATGATTGCGAAGATAGAGGAGCAAACATTAGAAGAGGCTGAAACATTAGATCTGCCTACGAAGAAGACAGCTGCTGTTATCTTGAATACTATTATCCATCCTCTGGAAGAATTGGAGCAATCTTTTTCTGCTCAGCAACAAGCACTAGCAACTGAAGAAATCACCGAAGAAATGAGACAACCTATTCAATCGTTACAATCAATTCCAGTAGTCAATGTTTTAGAAGAATTAAAGAAATCTATCGTCACAATTCAAGAAGAAATGATCCTAGAAACGAGTGAGGAAATGAAGAATTCTGAAGGCAAAGCACAAATTATAAACGAAGTACAGCGATCATTGGAAAATCTCAAATTCTCTGTTGGTGCAGTACAAAAAATAGTAACCACAGAAACTGAAAGTGTAAATACAGTATCCAATATAGAAAAGACATTGGCTATCCAATCCTTCGTCGAATCAATGAAAGAATTGGGAGACAAATGTATGGCAATTGTCAATCAATCTTTAGTAAAAGTAAAAGCTTCTGAAAAAATCCAAAAAGAGGAATTGGAGCAAGTTTTGGAAGTGATGGTTCAGCCTATTCAACTATTACGTGAAACAGCTATTGAGATTGAAGAACAGAAGGTCGAAGAAATTCAAAATCTGGACGAAACGAATAAAGATATAGTCGAAGTTTTGAAACCTCTGATCCATCCTTTGGAAGAGTTGGAAGAACTACTGTGCACTGCTGTTCGTGAAGCGAGCATATCAGAAATAAAAACTGCGGAAGAAGTGAAGAAAACTGCGGAAGAACTGAAACTAAGTCCTGTGTTGGAAAAACTACAGAAGTCTATCGCTGTGATAGAGGAACAAACAGTATTGCAACCGAAGAAACTCGATGTGTCTGCCACAAAAGTGGAAACATCTGTTGCTGAATTAATAGAAAGCCCATTAGAGAATCTAAAGTCGGCTGTGGCAGCCATACAAACTCTCGAAACGGAAGAGGCTAAAGAATTGTCGAATGAAGAAAAAACAACGGCTCTGAAAGCATTTGCCAAATGCATGGAAGAGATAGCAAAAGTGTGTTCAGTTGTCTCTAGTGAACAAAAGGTTCAAGTAAGTTTGGTGCAACAGCCACAAGTGGTTAAACTCGAATTTGGCCAACAAACTTTGGAGACTATAGCAAGTCCAATTCAAGTTTTGCGAGAAACCGTCTCGAAACTTGACGAACAACAGATACAAGAGGTTGAAACTCTAGTTTTGGCTGAAATAAAAGAGGCAGCAACTGTTTTGCATACTCTGATCGAACCATTGGAACAGTTGGAAAAATCGTTATCCATAGCTGTTGAACAGATGAGCATGATTAAGGAAGAATCTACTTCGAGTTTGAAGGACATTCAATCTTTGGTGAAATTAAACGTGAAGCCTGTTCTGGAGCAATTAGAAAAATCGATTGCAGTGATTCAAGAACAAGTATCTTTGGAATCATCCAAAGAAGAACCAAGTGATAAATTGGAGATGTCAGTCGTGGAAGCTATAGAAAAACCATTGGAGCACTTGAGATCTTCAGTAGCGGCTGTTCGAGAGATAATGTGCCTTGAAACAGAGCAAGCTAGTGATTTAATTGATAAAACATCGATTTTGGAATCATTCGCGAAATCCGTGGAAGAAATCGGTCAAAGATGTCTGGCAGTGGTATCTCAGCAGCAAATAAAAATACAACTGGTTCCTAAACAATTGGAAAAATCACAAATAGCAATATTGGAAATGGCGATTAATCCTCTTCAAGTTTTAAAAGAAACAATTAATAAAATCGAGGAAGAAAAACTACAACAAGTCGAAACTCTCGATTCTTCCAAAATGACTGAAGAAGAAAGAACGGATATATTAAACGTCTTAGTAGAACCGTTACAGAAATTAGAAACTTGTTTATCCTCCACTGTCCAACAAGCTGTCTCGATAAAAACTGAAAAGACGGAAGAGATATCAGAAAAAACATTTTCCATGGAAAAATTAAACGTGTCACCTGTCGTGGAAGAACTTCAGAAATGTGTAGCAATAGTACAAGAGCAAATGAAACTGCACGCAACGACAACACAATCCATCGAATCAGCTTCTTTTATGCAAACAGCTGAGAAATCACTGGAAGAACTGAATTCTTCTCTTAAAATTATTCAAAGCGTAATTACTATTGAATCAAGTGAAGAAGAAAAATTATCGGATACTGAGAAGGTAGCTGTCTTGGAACACTTTGCCAAATCAGTGCAAGAATTTGAAGAATGCTTGGCTGTGGCCAGTCAGCAGCAAGTGGAGGTAAAGGAAACGGTAGTTGAGCTAAAGGAAACTGAAAAACTGGATGCACAAGTTCTCGAAACAATTATTGCACCGGTTCTTGCATTGCGCGAGACTATTATGAAGATACAGGAAGAAAACTTGGAAGAGATAGGAACCCTAGAAAAGATAAATGTGCAGACGTTGACTCCATTGGTGCATCCTCTTGAAAAATTAGAGAGGTCTCTGGCGCATGTTGTTCAACAGGCAAGTGGGCAGAAGCTCGAAACTGTGGAAGAAATAAAAGAGGAAATTCCTCGAACAATGGTTCTTCAACCAATTTTGGAAGAATTGAAAGAGAGCATGGTTAATGTTCAAGAACAATTAATTGCGAGTTCAGAAACGTCTAAATTAGAAGCTGTTGAAAATATCGTTGTAGCAATTGAGGAATTGAAGACGTCTACTAATGCGGTTCAGCAAATGGTCATAGAACAAACCGAAGAAATGAAGATTGAGAAAACATCTGTATTGGAGACCTTTGCTAGATCGATAGAACAATTGGAAGAACGATGCTTGACAATAGTTAATCAACAGAAAACAGAAACGAAGTTGAAAGAAGATGAGAAACAGCAAGCAAAAGTAGATGTTGAAATTCTTCAGAAGATTAGCAACACGGTTCACATTTTACGTGAATCATTTTCACGAATCGAAGAAGAAAAAGAGGTCGAAGAATTAAAAATACCAAAAGAACAAGAAATGAAATTGAATGTTCTTATAGAGCCATTGTATATCTTAGAACAAACTTTGTTGACTGCGATGGAGGAAGGAAAAATCATAGGAGAAGAAACTGCGGAAAAATTGAAGAAAAGTGAAGTGGCTGTCGAAAAATTGAATTTACAACCTGTTCTGGAAGAATTACAGAAATCTATAACCATCATTCAACATCAAACGAGTGAATCAGCTTCAACTTCAGAGATTACTAGTGAAATTGGTTTAACGAAGGCGTTGATTGAAAAGACGTTGGAAGAAATGAAGTTATCTGTAGCAGCTGTTCAAGAAATCACGATTGCCAAACAAGATGAAACGAAAGAATTGAAAACAGGAGAAGAAAATTCTCGTTTGGAGGCTTTTGCGCGATCAGTGGAAGAAGCTGGTGAAAAATTGTTGAGTGCAATAAAGCAACAGGAAGTGAAGAAGTTCGTGGAAGAAAGCTCGATAAAGAAAAAAGTAAGTGAGGATTTTGTGAAAACCATAATAGAACCGATCAATGCGTTGCAAAATACGATTATGAATATAGACAAGGAAAGCGAATTATTAGGAAAGAAGAAAGAACAGGAAGCTGTGATCTTGTTAAATATGGTGCAGCCACTTCGCAAACTCGAGGAATCGTTCTTATCAGCCATGAAGAAAGAGACAATAACCAAATACGAGATTGTCGAAGAGATTTCTCAGGCAATTCCAGCGTTGCAAGAATTGCCAGTCAAGTCTACATTAGAAGAATTGAACGAACAAGTTGCAGAAATACAGAAACGGTTAGTCTTTGCCAAAGAAACCATAAGCTTGACAGGCGACACCGAAGACTTCGCCGCCATAAGAAATTTAGAAAGATCGTTGAGCGATCTAAGAACGTCTGTAGCTATTGTTCAGCAGTTGACAACGATAGAGAAACCTGGCCAACAAATTCTAGACGTTGAAAACGCATCTGCGTTGCAGGCATTTGGAAAATCCGTGGAAGAGTTCAAGAAACAGTGCATCGCCATTGTTTCAAGACCAAGAGTGATTGCCACAATTTTAGGAAAGATAGAATCACAACAGGCAATTAAACTAGAAACTCAAATCCCGCGCATTCTTGTTCCTGCTAAATTGTTGCAAGAATCTATTTCTTCGATAGAGGAGATCAAACTTCAAGAGGCGGAAGCATTGGAGACACCGGAAACGAAGAAATCTGTCACGATATTAAGCGAGCTTATACCGCCATTACAAAGATTGGAGCAATCTTTTGTTGCTGCCATTCAAGGAGAACACGTGATGGAACAAACAATGGAGGAGATCATGGAGACTGATCAAGTATCATTCGAGAAAACGACACTGAAACCAGTACTGGAAGAGTTTCAAAAATCAATCGCAACGATCCAAGAGCATATGATGATCGAGGAAGATGTGCAGAGTTTGTCAGAAGTCGAAAATGCTTCTCAGTTGAAGACAATGGCGCAAACGTTGATAGACTTGAAGACTTCGGTGGCCGCCATTCAGCAGGTCACTGAATCCATTCCGGAAATAGCGAGTGAATTGTCCAAAGCTGAGAGTGTGTTTGAGACGTTTGCTAAGTCTCTTCACGATCTGGTAGAACGCGTGGCGACTGTAGATCATCAACAAATGATCGTTGAACCAATAGCAGACACCATATCCGAAGACGTGTCGTCCTTGAAAACTTGGGCGGATGTTGTTGAAGGGCTGAACATTCAGGTGACAGAACCGATGGTGGTAGATCAAGGTACAGTGGAATCACCCTCTGAAATGGCTTTGTCGATTTCTGAGGAGGAGACACAGGTTTTGAAAGGCTTGGCCAAACCTCTGAGCGAATTGAAAGAATGTTTGGCGATAGTTATCGAAGAACGGAAATCGATGGACGCGAACGAGATGACATTTGCATTGTCAGAGAAGGAGGATCTATCTCTGTTAAAGACTATGGCGCAACCATTGTTGGAACTGAAAAATGCAGCAGCGTCCGTTATCCTCGAACAAACCACTATCGAATCTGCTAAAGAAAAGTCGTTTGATAATGAAGAGAGGATAGAAACTACTCTGAATCCGTTGATCGAGCCTTTGGAAGAACTTTGCAATTCGATCGCGTTGATCGAAGATCATATGCTGATTGAATCCGCGATAGATCGACCTGTTGATGAAGTATCCTTGCTGACTGCTTTGGCTGAGCCTTTAATGACACTTCACAGAAGTATCTCGATACTTGAAGAACGAGTAATGTCGCCTGATGTAGAGCCAATTCCAGAGGAATCGACTAATTGGATCACGGAGTGTTTGGCAGTTCCATTGCAAGAGATAGAGAGATCTATAGCTGAGATTCGAGAATGCGTTGTGGTAGAACCAGAACCTGGAATTGCTGAAGAATTCTCGAGGATCGATACACCAGATTGGACAGTAGTTGAGAAATTAGTACACCCAGTGGAAGTTATAAAATCAACAATCATTGAAATGGAGAAAAGTATTGCTGGAAATAAAAAGATGGAAAGAGAAATTGAATATGAGACAGTCAAAATACTGGTGCAACCTCTGAATGATGTGTACGAAAGCTTCATGGTGTTAAAAAACAAAACTGATATGAGCGTAGAAGAAGAAGAAGCTAGTATCGATGCTATCGTAGATTCCTTGTCAAATTTAGAGAAGAGTATATCATTGATTGAGGAACAGTTTGCTGAGAAGAAACAGATCTCAAGTATGGATGAAACTATAATTGGAATACTGGATGAACCTCTGATGCAATTGAAGGAAAAGATTATGACAGTGGAAGAATCGTCAACTGCATATCTTGAAAATTTGGAAAAACCTTTGAAGAATTTACAAGCTGCTTTGGAAATTATTTCGACCGTTCAAATTAAGAAAATGGAAAAAGAAAGAAAAGAAACTACTGTTTCAGTGGAAGAAGTGACGAGAATATCGACAAAATTAATGAATTCTATTAAAGAGATGAACGACTCTATCGAATCAATTGATAATAAGATAGAAAGTTACAAAGGTTTACTGGGTATAGAAATTCAAATCGAGAATGAAGCTTTGAAGGCATTGATTAAACCTCTTGAACAATTGAAACAGGAAATTCAAAATATATTGGAAAAATCTGAAATTGAAGAAACTTCGATAGATTCTCTAAAGAAACTTCGAAGGGCAATTGATATTATTCGTCATCAATCTGCAGATAAACCAATGATTGAACCACCACATTCTGAAATGGCAGATATTTTCGGAATGTTGAGAATACTAACGATAAGCTTAAATGAGTTGGAAATGTCCAGTGAGAAGGTTGAAAAATTTTGGAAAGATAATTTAAGTGGAGAAGGTCTTGTGGAACTGGAGACACCCATTTTAAATTTAATGATAGATATAAATCTGCTTCGTGATAGAATATTAAATATGGAAATAGTGTGGGAAAAAGATGAAGAGAAAAAAAAAGAGAAACTAAAACAAGAAGAAGAACGTAAGAAAAAAAAAGAGACTGAGAAACTAAAACAAGAAGAAGAACGTAAGAAAAAAGAAGAGGCTGAGAAACTAAAACAAGAAGAAGAGCGAAAGAAAAAAGAGGAGGCTGAGAAACTAAAACAGGAAGAAGAACGTAAGAAAAAAGAGGAAGCTGAGAAACTAAAACAAGAAGAAGAGCGAAAGAAAAAAGAGGAGGCTGAGAAGTTAAAACAAGAAGAAGAACGTAAGAAAAAAGAGGAGGCTGAGAAACTAAAACAGGAAGAAGAACGTAAGAAAAAAGAAGAGGCTGAAAAACAGGAAGAAGAGCGTAAGAAAAAAGAAGATACTGAGAAGCTAAAACAAGAAGAAGAACGTAAGAAAAAAGAAGAGGCTAAAAAACAGGAAGAAGAACGTAAGAAAAAAGAAGAGACTGAGAAACTAAAACAAGAAGAAGAGCGAAAGAAAAAAGAGGAAGCTGAGAAACTAAAACAAGAAGAAGAACGTAAGAAAAAAGCGGAAGCTGACAAACTAAAACAGGAAGAAGAACGTAAGAAAAAAGAAGAGGCTGAAAAACAGGAAGAAGAGCGTAAGAAAGAAGAAGAGACTGAGAAGCTAAAACAAGAAGGAGAACGTAAGAAAAAAGAGGAAGCTGAGAAATTAAAACAAGAAGAAGAGCGAAAGAAAAAAGAGGAAGCTGAAAAACAGGAAGAAGAACGTAAGAAAAAAGAAGAAGAAACTAAGAAATTAAAAGAAAAAGAAGTACTTAAAAAAAAGGAAACTAAAAAAATGGAGCAAGAAAAGAAATTTAAAAAGAAAGAAGATCCAGCACTTAAGAAGATAAAAGAAGCAGAGAAATTGAAACAAGAGGAAGAGGAGCTTAAAAAAGAGGAAGTTGAAAAATTGAAACAAGAAGAGGAGCAAAAGCAAAAGGAGGAAGTAGAGAAACAGGAAGGAGAACGTAAAAAGGAATGTCAAGAAAAAGAAAAGGCTGAAAAAGAGAAACAAGAAGAAGAGATACGTAAAAAGAAGGAAAAAGAAATTGAAAAAGCGAAAGAATTTGAATCGGAAGCTTTGAAACAACAGGAGGAAAAATTACGAAAAAAGAAAGAGCAAAGAAAATTACAAAAAGAGGAAGATGAACGCAAGGAACGAGAGGAAGCTGAAAAACGTAAAAAGGAGCAAGAACAAAGGAGACATGAGAGAGAAGAGCGTACAAAAAGAGAAGAAGAGGAGAAGCTCAAACGAGAGGAAGAGGAACGTAAAAAGAAAGAGGAGAGACTGAAATTGAAGAAAGAGGAAGAAGAACACAGGAAAGCTGAGGAAGAAGAACGATTGAAGAAGAAACAGGAGAGAGAGGAACAGAAACGAGAGGAAGCTAGACGTCGAAGAGAAGAACAAGAGAAGCAGATAAGACAGGAAACTGAAAAAGTGAGAAAAGCGGAGGAAGAACGAATAAGGAAAGAAGACGAAGCTCACGAACGTAGGAGAATGGAACGCGAACAAAGAAGACAGGAAGAGATGGCCAAATTACGCAAAGAGGAAGAAGAAAAAATCAAAAGAGAGGAAGAACGCAGAAGAAAGAGAAAAGAGACGGAAAGGCAGCGGAAAGAAGACGAGGAAGCTATGAAAAGAAGAGAGACAGAACGTTTGGAAAGAAGAAGAGCCGAGGAGCGGCAGAAACGAGAAGAAATGGAACGTTTGCGACGAGAAGACGAAGAGAGGAGAGATAGAAGGGATGCTGACAGGCAATTAAGAAGAGAAGAAGCAGCACGAACGATGAAAGAGGAAGAGGAACGTTTAAGAAGGCGATTCGATGAAGAAGCATCCAGACTTCGAAAACGAAGACAAGAACAGATAAGAGACGACACTTGGTCCCGAATGCGTCAAGGCGAATCTGATCAATTGTTCCGAAAAATGACGGAAGATGCGTTTAGAATTGAAAAAACAAAAATCACTTCTTCTGATATGGATCTTTGGCGAGACAAACGAGACAAATCTTATCGATACGATTCTGGTTTCGATTCTGGACTTTCCAGTACTTCCAGATCGTACAGTTGGAGAGATTCTCTTACTTCTCTAACAAGAAAGAGGATCGATGATTTTCTCGATTATAAATTGAGGGATACTTCGATCGATAGATACTATTTCGATACAGGGACGTATTACAGGAGAAGGAGAAAAAGGGACGACCGAATTACTCGGGCTAGATCCATCAGTTTGTTAAAGTACGATGACTATTCGACAGGGGATAGTGACACGACTATCACAGCTGTTAGTGTTAGCAAACCACCGAAATATGGCGGGAGACCAAAGATGATGTCACGAATGGATCTAGATGGGTCGAATCTTCCCATATATTTACCTCCTATTAAAGACAAGGTAAGAATAAGAAGTTCTTTATTAAGAAATAAAATATTAATAATATTAATATATTAATATATAAGAAATAAAATATTAATAATATTATAAATAAAATATTAATAATAATTAAAATTATTGTTAAGTAAATATATATAATTTTTATTGTTCTAAGAATATTCAAGAAATTAGATTCAAAGATATTAAAAAATTTCATATATTCAAGCCTATATAAAATCCAAGAATGAGATTACCTCGTGAAGAATGATAAAAAAAAATTGTCAAATATCGAAAAAAGGATTTAAATGTCAAAAGAAAATTTATTTAAAAATGATTTTAACATTATCTTACAGCTTGCTCCGCGCGAGAAAGGAAAGAAGCCGTCATTCTGCACGAGATTGACGAATAGGACCGTAGGGGTTGGTATGAAGACGAGATTGACCTGCACCGTCCTTGGCCATCCGGAGCCGAGGGTTTACTGGACGAAGGATGGGGAGAAACTCGACATAACCACGAACAAATATAAAACTCGATTCGATAACGGTATGGCTTACTTTGAATTGCACGAACCACTCCCCGAAGATTCCGGATTGTATACCTGTGTTGCCGAGAATGTTCATGGAATCGCGAGCACCGAATCCGCGTTAAAAGTTTACCCCGATTTCCAACCAACATTGTCACCCCCTACTTTCACAAGATCGATCAAAGGTGAGTAATCGTGTGTTCTAACCGCTGAATATTTGTAAAAAAAAAAAAATATTAAGAAGAATTACACGTAGTGTAATTAACGTCAAGATCTATCTTTTAACTAATTTTTGCATGAATTTTGCAACTGTTGCATTTTAGAGAAATTCCAAAACTTTTAAGTGTGATACTTACAGATTACTATATATAGATACTATATATATTATATAAGATTTTGTAATTGTATGTAAAATAATATTGTTAGAATTGTAATAAAATTTGAAAATATAAATTTTTATATTCACAGTATTGTCGTATTAATATAATAGATACTTATCGATCATGTGACAATGAATTGATCCTGGAGTGTCGAGTTCGTGGCAACCCAACACCTGTCATCTCATGGTTGAAAGACGGTTGCATTCTTCGAGGCGATCGTTACAAACAAAGTTATCTGGACGATGGTATCTATCGATTAGAGATCGCTGCGCCTAAATCTACGGATAATGGTCGTTACACTTGCAGAGCGATGAACGATCTACGAACCGAAGAGATATCGCACATAGTTCAATTCAATGGTAACACGTTATTCCTAATTAAATATCTTTGAGTAAATTTACTTTACTTAAAATCATTTTAAAAACGCGTATTTTTCAAGAACGAGATCGACGAATCGTGAATAAACACGAGAAATTGTTCGACGATTACTTCAGCCTTGAAACTTACAAAAGGCCAAGATTCTCCAGTTATTTGAGCGACTATAGTGTTCCCACTGGAGGCACCATTGCCCTCCAAGTTGAGGTCAAAGGTATTAATTAATTAAAATCAATAGTAAAATTTATGAGATTTAGAACTCACATTCCTTCGTTTTGAGAAAAATAATTAATATAAAAATATTTAAAATTTCTACATATGAAATGTATTAATAATTCATAATAACAAATAATTAACATCATTACAAAAATATTGTGCAAAATCACTCCCTTAATAATTATTATGATAATCAATTCTAATAAATTGTGTAAAAATATCGACAAATTTTTAAAAGAACAAATAATGGATAATTATCACAGGCGTACCGGCACCGGAAGTCAGGTGGTTCCGCGGCGAAAGGCGGGAGCCAGTCTCGATCGCAAAAGCGAAGACATTTACAGAATCCGGTGTTCACACGTTGGTTCTGCCCGAGGTGACCGAATCGGAGAAAGGCACGTACATCTGCAGAGCGATTAACGCTTACGGCCACGTGGACAGCATTGCCACGGTCGAAGTAATTTCGCCGAGTGCGATCGATGGCGGGAAACCGGCCATGTTCGTTTCGAGGCCCTCGGAAAAATCGATCACGGTCAATTCTGGAGAGGACGTCAGTGTCTCGTTCAGGGTCACTGGAATTCCCAAACCTCGAGGTGATATACTCTTTATAATAGAAATAATAGCAACAACGATTACAAAGTTAATAAAATAACAATGATAATAACAATTGTAAAGTTTGACAGGGTAGAGACGTGTCTCGTGGACATTTTTGTCTTTCAATCATAATTCGAACATAATAAATTATTATCGTGACTCGATTTACCTGTAACAATTAATATGCTTAAATTCAGTTACATGGATGAAAGGATTGAAAGATATCACGGACGGTCTCAGATCTCACAAGGAAACGATCGACGATTACGTGAGATTAACATTGAAGAGAGTGGTAGCAACGGACGAAGGCACTTACTGTATTCTGGTTAAAAACAGATACGGTTGTGACAGAAGTTTCTTCTCGATCAAGGTGAATTTAATTCTAATTCGATGTATCTAATTTCGATGTATCTGATTGAATATTTATTGCAGATGTCTATACATTTATTATGATCGTTTGTTTCAGGTGAAACAACGTGCCAGGTCACTGACACCCGACTGGAGTTCTTTGAGCAGCCGCACCGAGACCGGAAGTTTTCTTGGTTTGTCCAGCGAGAGCCGTGACGAGGAACTCTCTTACGTGAGGAGTAAGTATTTGTTCTGTTTTAATTTGAAAATGAGGAAAAGGAAATTAAATTGCTATAATCAATTGGAGGATTGAGAATTAAGGAGTGTAAAGTCATTTTTACTAGAGAATCTTAAAAATATATTTCTTTTTACTCGTACAAATGACTTACATAGCTAGAATTAATGGAATTTTATAAATACCTTGTAACAATTATTCATTTTGAGATATAATTTTTATTAGAATTGAATAAATATACATTGATAACGATGACAATTCATTTAATAATCAATATTTGTTAACAATAACAAAAAGAAATTTTGATTTTGAAAATTATGCCCTCCCCATAATAGTTTTTCGTGAATATCTCTTTGCAAAATCGTGAATAATTTTACGGTTCTATCACATCGAAATGTCAAGCAATATTAATTGCATTAAAACGTATAATCAAGCAATTATAATTAGAAGTTCTATGACAGTAACTGGGATTTTACTCATACATTTGGCTCAGATTTAAGTGGACATAGTCCAAACGAGACCTGGATCATGACTTTATGAAATGACGTCAATGTCTAGGCTGATCATATGTCAAATTTGTTCTCTCAAGCATCTACGAACAAAAGTTTTTTTGAGATTTTGAGAAAAATACAGCTAATCTATTTTAATCTATTTTGTTAGTAGTTTTTCTAATGAATTATATATTGTTAGAAAATTTTAAATGATATATCAAAAATATAGTTATACGTTTAATTTTCTCACAATGATTTTGTACAAACAAGTGAAACATAATAATGTTCAATTACATTATTTCCGAAAAATAGTTTTCATTTGTATATATAAAATTATTGCAAAATATTTTTTTAATCACAAGAAGATGGATGATTATGATTCCATTCCTTCAGATTGTTATTAAATTTTGAAATATTTTAACGAAGAAATGATTTGAATTAATAATTAATTAATTATAATTGTAGGATGAATATTTTGAAAATTCGCCAAAATTCTTTGATTAAACAAAGAAAATATGTTTACATGCAAATGTAAATCATATATCAAATGGATAGCCTTAAATTTTCCAATGACATTTAAAACAAAAATTGCAATAAAAAATAATAAAATAAATTTCAACTGAAACGTGATGATCGTTCGAATAAAATTATAAACATATTTCGATTCACTCGAATATTTGAACTCGATGCTGGAACAGAGCCAAATGTGACGGTTCCTTGACCAAACCTTTAAAATATAAAACGGTATATTAAATAAATGTAATACATCACAATGACAATGAAACAGAGAAGAAACTCGGATGGCATGATTAAATGCGTACACAGGGAATTTACAGAGATTGGAAGGGAATCACGATTCTTAAATTAGACCCAAAGGTCTCGAGGCCTGTTGTAAATTAATTTCATGCAAATATTTGCATGATTCTAAATTGCAAGAGACAAATCCTTACGCAAGTACTCGATTGACAAGCTTTTATTATTATTAAAATCGAAAATCCTCGTTTTGGTTAAAATTTGGACCTGCATGAAGCAATTATAATTTATTTGAAATGATGAATAAGATAAAAGAAATATAATTTTTGTAATTTTGGAATATCTTAATGATACATTAATTCATGGAAAACTTGAAAAAATCTCTATTGTATGATAAGTTATATTTTTAATAAAATTTAATAAAATTTTGAAATTTTGAATATTAATTTACTTAAAAAATAAATTACTTATGGTCCATTATACGCATAAACTTTTATCATAAATATTTTATAAAATATTTCTTTATAAAATAATAATATACAAAGTCTTTTTTGTATATCGTTTAATTTATCATTTAAATTGTCTAGTGAAATTGCACTAAATTTTTTGATAGATAAAAATGTTTGAATAAAAATGTATAATAATAAAATGTTTGATATAATATTTCGATAAATCTTATGTTTAGATTATATATTCAGATATTGTAACAATATTACTATTCTTTTGTATTCATTTTTATATTTATTCGTATTTATTTATATGAAAACAATTATAGCAAAATTAAATATTCTATAAGAAATTATAATAGATTATTTAATGATAATGTTCTTCCCCCAATCGCCAGAAAACGTACAAAAATAAACATAGCGAACTGTAGGAACACCTGATTCCTACAAAGTAGGCCATTCAATAAATAAACAGATTCTAAATCGTATTACGGAACTTGTAATTTTAGAGGCAGCGCACTTTCAAATACATCTCTTCTCTATAAATTTAAGCAAAAAAAAAAAATAATAATAATAATAATAATAATAAACAAATTTTCGTCTCGTGGAAAGAAGTAACAGAAATAGAGTTTAATCCAGATTCAATAACCGGGAATAAAATTATTTTTTATTCGTTTTAAACACATTTGGAAATTGTATCAGCAACGATCAGATAATCATGAAATTGATAAGTATTTGAATATGAAAAAGAGAGAGAGAGAGAGAAGTATCAGAAATAAAAATTCATTCTTTTCAAGAAAGCAATTAAATACCTTAAAAATCAATACAATTAATAAAGCAATATTTTTCACAAAAATTACAAATAATAACAATTATTCACCCAAGACGAGATAAAAAAAAGAAACAGAATAACTCAATTCCACAAAATTAAAATAATCCAAAAAACGGTTGGCCAAAAATGCGCACATGTACATATATTGACAAAATATATCTGTCCGCTGAACTGAATTTATTTAATACATTTGGAAACAGCTGTTGCTTTAAATCATCGTCAATGCCATAATGCGCAAGCATAATTGCCAACGAGTCAACAATATAGTGTAACAATAAACGTCAACTCGTCGTCAAAATCTGGCGAGAAATTGGATACAAAGTGGATAGTGGATCGGCCATATGACGATCCCATCGAATCCGTGAAACAAGAGACAATCAAATTCCAACAAAGTGTAACGATCGAGTTGTAATACACCACCTACGTGTACCTGCACCGATGGGAACACCTCACTCGGGTTATTTTCGGTGATTCCCCTCCTCAACATCCTCCACCGTCCACAAATTCGAAATTCAGTCGGCGTCGGGACGCGAGTCATCTCGTACGTCATCCCACTTTTTACCGAGGCGAGGCTTCAAGGCAAATAAACATACGAACGCCTTGACATTTTTCTTTTTTCCCTCCTCCTCCCACCCCCTCCCGAAAAAATCGCGGCGCGAATCTTGCGAGTGGTAAAATGAGTAGTGTCGACGATTTTTGGAAGTTTGGTTGAAAGTTACGCGGGATTTTTCGAGTGGAAGGATAATAACACTTCCGTTTCGACGGGATGATGAGAAGGGTGTGAAATGAAGCCGCACGATCATGGGATCGTCGTGACCGACGACGAGGACATGACGATCTTCCGCCTGAGGCGGTCGTGGTCCGAGAAGGATTGCTTGATCACGGATTTTTTGGAGTATCTTTATGGGCATAGAGGTTAGATTATTAAATTAGAAGAATTGGTGAATTTGGTGAAAAGTAAATTTGTGTACTTTTTGAAATATATCTTGTGACATAATAACTGTTTACGATCCTCTCGTGAGAGAAATTTTTTAAAATTAACGCGATTTTTATCTTGTCTTGGATTGTTTCAAGTGGCGAGAAGATTGTAAGCAGTACTTGCTTCGAGTTGAACAGTGAGATCATCATTAAACAGTGATTACGCTGTAATATATGGCAATGCAATTATTAGTAATAAAATCAAGTTCAATATATACTTATAAATTCAACGTAAGAGATTCATTTCATAAGATTCAAATATTATTAGTAAGATGTATTATTCTATTTTGGTATTTGGGAGTGTTAAGTTCTCGTAGAGTTTTGGTTTCGAATCAGAAGAATGAATACTTGCCAGTTTTGAAAATCTAACTATTTTGATATTAGAATCAGAATTTTTGTATAGGAAAGTTATGAAAATTTGTATAACAAATAGATAAAATTCTTGTAATTCTTTCTGTTCAGAATAATTTTTATAAATTTTTCACGGTTCAAATTCAATTCCAATTTCGTCCCCATTCTAGATGTTCCAGGGCCGATTACAAGCGAGCCAGTGGTAGTTGACGGGGGAAAGAATTGGCTATCCTTAAGTTGGGGAAAAGCTGAAAGAAGAGGACCAGCGCCTGTCATTGCTTACAGAGTTGATGCTTGGTTGTTGGGCAGTGATGGCGGTGCACGATGGGTCGAGGTATCATAGTTTTTGCTCACCATTCCCTCGATATGTATAAGATTTCAAAAAGTTAAGCAGCACGTGTCGTAAGAAATTGAAAAATCAAATATTAAATTAAAAGTTAACTTCAAAGATATTAAGCATTAAAAAAAAAAAGTACCAATAATGGTAATGCAAATACCAGTTGGTATAATGTATGCAAAGCGAGAATCGTGCCACGTTAGAAGTAAACTTGTTGACACGTCGAGGTCTCATACATTAAAATTAGATATTCTGAATTTTTATGCAATAACATGAGTTTTTTATTTTTTTCTGTGTTATTATGCATCACTTTTCAAGGAGAACAAGTAAGATATATCTATAATGTTATGCCATTTCAGAAATTATATGTATTTAAAATTTTATTTTATTTACTTATCATTGATATATCTTATTGTCATGTTAAATAGTAGCTTCTTTAATCAATAATTAATTTATTTACGATCGGTATTATCGAATCAAGATAATTAATTATTGATTTTTTCCTTATTATAGAATAAAATTCTGCGTCTCTTTCTTTTTCTGACAGAAGAAAATAATATAATAGAAGGCTTGCAAGAAATCTAATAACGATTTATCGTTAATTTAAGTTCATCTTCTTTCTCAAAACGAAAACTTTTATTCAATCATCATTCTCCTCCTTATTTAAAAACAAAATTTCAATTAATTATCTCGTACAAGATTTTAATCACAAATTCACTGTTCTTCGATTTTTAATTACTAATTTTATCCCAACTTGTAATTAATTTTATTTCAATTATTCTACTTTTAACTATTCCTCTTCCTCTTCTTTTTCCAAACACAAATTCGTTCCTCAATACTCAATTAATTTTATTCCAATTATTCTCGTCTATTTTGATTCTTTTTCTCAATCGCAATTCGATCGATTTTATCCGAATATCAGCTGGGGATGACACCGATAAACGCGTTCGACGCGTTCAACTTGAAGCCTGGAGGCGAGTACAAGTTCCAAGTGACTCCAAGAAATCGTTATGGATGGGGGGAGTCTGTCACTATGACGAACTCCGTCAAGGTCAGCGAGACCGTCGACCTTCCAGAGTTCACGAAGATCCTTCCAGGACAATTGAAAGTTCTCGAGGGTAGCGCGGTCAAATTGGAGTGCGAGGCAAGTGCACTATTATTAGCCAAGCTAATCGTTTCCCACTTTTGTTTCGCCCTGTTTATTATTAAACTCGACACACGGGTACGATTTTCACGCGTGAGTAAAATTTGGAATCGTGGCAGCTAGGAACAACGAGGATAATTAATCAGATGATGGTTGAAGGGAAATTTACAGAAATTATTTTGCAAAGGAATTTTTAAATTTAATTACAATTTCTTTACATGTACCATATATATCTATATTATAATTATTTTCTTTTTCTTTATTTTTCACAATATTTTCCATTGACATGTTTCTCTGCTGTGAATAATAAACAAGATAAATCTATAATTTGTTATGTTTAAAATACGAAATTGATCTTAATAATACAATTTGTCATTTGAATTGCAACTGTGATCATGTATATTTTACTTAAGAAGACAGTTTTTAAATTTATTTTTTTCTTAAATTATTTCTTCCTTTTTACATTGGCACGTCCATAAAAACGTAAAACTGTCGTTTCAAGTCAGTGTGTCATAAAGTACATACATTACACTGAACAAGTATTTTTCAATAATGAAAAAATCAAAAACATTTATATCAAACTTTGCCACGAATTCTATAGTTTAAAAAACAAGTTCCAGTGAAAAATTTAAATTTTATAAAATTTCTTTTTCCTTGTTTTTTAAGAGAGAGAAAATAATTATCATCAAAAAGATTCTTACGACTGGCTATATGAATCTGTGTAAAACTTTACAGATCCGGGCTGACCCAAAGGTGGACATAAAATGGTACTACGAGTCGATGGAAATCGATGACTCAAACGGTGATCCCAAGTGGTCGATCTCTCGTAGCGGGTCCAAATGTTGCTTCACGATCGAGAACGTTGAAGAGAAAGATAGTGGAAGATACGTTTGCGAGGCGGGTAATTCGGTCGGGAAGGTTTCGTCTTTCGCCAGATTGCTCGTCGTCGATGATCCAAAGATCATCGAGGCTGATGAAAAATTTAAATCGAGGTATAAATAATCGACACCGAGATCAGCGTTTAAATTAGTACATAATTTACGTGAAAGTGAATTGCAGCAAATTCTCTGTAACACTTTTTAGCCACTAATTTCCAGCCAGCAGGAATTTTAATCCTCGAAAAATATCGTGGAATAAATTAAGATAAGATTAAGAAAGGAGAAAATATAAAGAAGGGTGATAATGATAAATTGAAGAAAAAATATTTTTACCGATCGTATTTTCTTTTTAATTTTTATTAATATCGTTGTCAGTTTCTTTTAATTCATATATATACACAATGTTAATCCTGACTTAAAATTCAAATTTTAAATAAATAATTAATGAAAATTAACGTAATTCACAACTAATAAATCGTATAAATAATAAATAGAATAACAAATGCAAATAATTTTTGTAAGTACGTCGATGTAAAATTTTTATATCACAGATCTTTAGGGGACGAAACGGAGGACAGGCCACCCCAATTCACAATGAGAATTCGGGATAGAAGGGTGCAAATGTCTTACCCTGTGAGACTCACGTGTCAAGTGGCAGGGCATCCGGCCCCAGAGGTCACGTGGTACAAAGACAACGCAGAGATTCGACAAGACGGTAAATATACTCTCTTTGCCAACCAATTTCTTAATTCGAAATCAAGCAAAGAAAAAGCGTTCTCTGTGATCTTGAAGAGCGTCACGTATTCTGGAACAACGACTCGAATTTCCACACGTTGGAAATCATTCACTCGATGCTCGAGGACTCCGGTTGTTACACCGTAATGGCGAGGAACGCGAGCGGCTCGGTGTCCTGCCGGTGCATCCTGGTCGTGGACAAAGGAATTCGCGCCTACATAGCCCCGGATTTCCTGTGCGGCCTGGATCCGGTTTATACTGTGAAATTAGGGGAAGATCTGCGGATGACTGCTCAAATAGAGGCGTATCCCAGCGTCGGTATCGTATGGTAAATATCTATAATTGGAAAGGGGGGATTGATGATGATGATAATTTTCATAATTCTACATGGGTAAAATGATAATTACAAAAGGAAGAAACAAAACATCTGTTAAGATCAACTTTTTAAAATCATTTTATTTTCTTTGTTAAAATTTTTGTATTCATTTTGCCCAAATAATATAACTCGATGTTTTTTTTTTTTTTNTTTTTTTTTTTTTGTATTATATAGAATTCGTTTTTGCAAGTAAAATTTAGATTTTTAAAAATTCACACTTAAATAGGGTGTAAAATATCGAATGACATCAAATTTTTATCAAAATGAATTGTTCGATATGTTCGTACTCAGGCATCGAGACGGAATTCGTTTGCGGCCAAGCAGAAGAGCAGTGATGACCTTGAACCACGACGGTACGGTCGAGCTGTCCTTGGGCAAGGTCACAGCAAGGGATGCCGGTGTTTATTGTTGCACAGCCACGAACGAGGTTGGATGCGCCGAGACATCGACACGGGTCGCCATTATTGGCGCTGAATCGCAAAATGATGAGGTGTCCGTCGATGGAGTGCCAACTTTGACGGTCATATCGACGCCAGGCATACCGTGAGTTCGATATAATATTCATCTCAATGACGATTATTTTTCATCCTTTCATTCAAGATAAATATTAAAATTAGATTCAATTAACTCCGATAATTATATCTGATTATCAAGGAGATGGTGTTGTTATGTAAAAGTATTAATTAAGTAGATATTTTAAGAAATATCTAATATTAATAATAAAATAATTTTTTTTTTGAGTACATAAGATAAAAAAATCAAAAAATTTTTAAAAAGAAAGATTTACTTTCAATAAAAATTCTCAGATACTCGAAGGAGCCCCTCTTCGTCACGAAACCTCTATCCACCGAGGCAATCGAAGGAGACACCGTCATCATATCCTGCGAGGTTGTCGGCGACCCGAAACCGGAAGTGATATGGCTGCGCGATTTCCTCAGAGTAAGATCTTAAATGCATTTTCATCACTCGATTCACACGATTAATTTACATGATCCTGCGTGTAGTAAATATATATCTCCTCTCTAAAAATCAAAATAAACGATCTTAGAATAGTTCACGAATTTTATGATCGCATGAAATTCACGACTTGTACGTTCGTTACGTGATCAGCGTACAATTTTTTGAGGAGAGAGATTTTATCAATTTATATCATCGCCATTCCAAAATTTGCTCGAAGAGACTCCTGTAGATGTTACAAAAATATTAATTTCATTTCAGGTATAATTTTCTTTTTTAAACGATAAATTATAAAAGTATCATTGTCTTTGAATATTAAAAAAAAAAGTATCAGGTCTATAAATCTACTTTTGCTCCGCGATTCTTTATGAAAATGGACGATCACGGCAATTACAGTATTACACATTCAGTGTTTTATCGTATGAAATCAAAAACCACAAGGCGAAATTTCGAATATAAAAATATATAGCTATGTAATAGCTGATGCTATATGACCTATATAGATAGCTAAAATACACATAAGAAGAACGCATAATTTCGTAACGTCGTTAAAAGTACGAATGCAATTTATCTCGAATCGCACATCCAAAAAAAAAACGCGTAATTAATAATAATAATAAATAAATTTGATCGTAATCGTTTACTTTACGAATCGTTTTTAATTACCACACGAAAACGGGTATAATATATACATACTCTAGACTTCGAAAAAAATTCTCACGAGAGGATCGAATAGATGATCCATGGATCGGCGGGTGGTTGATCGAACGAAAGAGAGGCGCGTTGTGCAATTGGTGAAATGACGTGTCCCTAATGCCGTGTTGATGTGGGTCAAGGTGATCGCGAAAAAGAAATGACAACGTAACATACAGCATTATGCCCATAAATGGGCCAAGCATTATATGCGTCGGGGAAACGGCATTGATATTGGACGGCTCTTTAAAAGGTAACAGTAAGTTACGTGAGGTTAGACACCCGGCTCCAGAAGAAAGAGAGAAATTTATTGCTCAATCGAGTGGAAGGCCCCCGATGACAATGGACACGGAATTGTGTGCCCCGATCCGCCGAAACTCCTTATACGTACACGGTATTGTTATTTGGGACGGAGATCGAAAGGTATTGTAGCGCGATTATCGACGAGCAAAAGAAAATATTGGGCACAGGCCGATACGAACAATTTACTCTTAAATGCTGTTAATTACTCTTGAAATGCTACCATCAGAGAAATTTTATCTCAATCTCTTAATTTTTAACATTTGGCTGAAATTACGTCACTTTTTTTTTTTGTATATATATATAAAACATATAAAAAGATTGTAATTGGAGTAGTTTTCAATAATTGTAAATTATTTAATAATCATTGGTTTACTTATTTTAATTAATGAAAGTGTAATTAAATATGTAATTATACGATCTTCGGATTTAAAAGGTGAATTAATGTTAAATAATGATAATACTATTTAATCTACAGATAATAACAGAAATCAATAATAAGGTTATAATTAGTAAGATTCACAGTTATTGAATAATACAGTGCAAATGATTATGGACTGAAATTTTTTTGATATAAATATTTTCCAATTATCATAACATATTTTTAAATGATCAAATATAATTATGTAACAAGGTTATTAAATATTAGATGAAAAGTAGAAGTCATTGTTTTTCGTTTTGCAATAAAGATTAATAAGTAAATTGATGTAAAGAGATACAGAAGAAAACGATGAAAGAATATGGTCGTGCATAGTTCAAGCGATATGCCATTCACGTCTCCATCGACAGTCTCGAGTATGAACTCTTCCGAGTTTATTCCGGCGATAGCGCGCGCGAAACTACGGTCAACGAATGCTAATTAATAGTAATTTTAAATACGTTGACGTCATTCTAGCGATGGATCATAATTGCGTCTGATTGTTAAAAAGCATACCTGAAACGAAAATCATCAAAAGACGTATGAATATAATATTGACACTTTTGAAATCTAGATTCATTCGTTATAAGTATTACGTGTACAAATTAGGTTAAGTACAGATTTTTCTATATCCAATCTTTGCTAGTAATCTTTATTTTTCTACTAGTAAAAGTAAGACTAAAATATCGTGTAATTAAAAATTCATAAATTGTTTTATTATCAAGTTACGATAAAAATATGAAATGTGATATAGATATTTATATCATATTAGTATAATTATTTATTGCAGATGAGATGTGAAATCTTGTAATTAATATAGTTTACAAGATAAATTAAAATTAATAAAACAATTTAACAGGATATAATATGCAAAAAGATACGAAAAATTCAAAATATATGATATTTAAAGAGTGAAATAAATTTCTATTTAAAATCGATGTTTTTAATGATGTTGATAAAAATTTAAATTTGCATAAATGTTCGTAAATATATTTACTTATATAACATATTTATGTAACTAATGTAACATAAATATTAAGTACTTACTTTGCTGTATAGCAAAAAATAATTATTTTTCTTAATTTTTTATATTTTCCGTATTTCTTAATAAAAAAAATTTTTTATTATATGATAAAAACATAAAACATACATACATAATACCATATATTTCAGAATTATTTTCATAATAAAATATACGTTTAATTAAAAAAATTAGAATAAAATATTTTAAATACAAGAGAAAATATTTTTAAACCAGTATTTTTCATTAAGTATTTTCTACACAAAAATATTTCACAATTATTCTTATAGTACACGAACGAAATCACGTAAATAGAGTATTTCCAATGGAAGAAAAGTTATTTGTCAGTAAATAAATTAGGCTTATGTAAAATCGAAAAAGAAACCGGAAGCGATCGGTGACCGGAAAAACAGGCGTATTTGGTAGCCGCGTCACTATAATATCTGCATTATCGAAAAGAGCGCGGGAGAAGAGGCTCCCCACTTTTCCTGACGAAGTCGACTTTCTTCGTCGATGGATCGGTAGTGCAAAACCACGGGCGGCAAAACAGTCGTCTCGTGTCTTTGGCCAACGAATAGCCACTTCGTCCACCAACGATCCCTCCAGATCGTGGTTTTTACGATCGACGAGTGACATGGATATCTCTTGTCCCGACTATTCCGTGTATTCGTTGAAAATCTCCTGACCAAGGAAGTGATCCGATCTATCAAACCGATTAACCGACTGATTTTTCTATTTTGGATTTGGAGTGTGTTCGATGTGGACATTTGAAACGTAAGCAGAAATTAATTTTTCTTTTTTTTTTTTTTTCCTTTTAAAATTATGGAATATTAAAAAATTGTGTTGTACGAATATAATTTGAAATTGAATTTAGTTTATAAATTCTTTTTGAATTTGATTTTTTGAATTTTGATTTTTTTTTTCCTTTTTGTAATAGATTTGTCTAGTTTTATCTTTTTTTCTGGAATAGTTGGTAATTGGATATTTCTTTCATCTTAAATATCAAATTTCAACTTTATTATAGCGTGTTGTGATAGTTGTATTTTCCAAGTTTCGTTCTGGAAATATCAATTTTTTTTATTTGAAATGTAATATTATAAAAAAGATAGTTTGTGATTAAAATAATTGAGAATACTTCATTTATGAATTGAGTCTTTATGCATTTTTGTGCTATTTTCTGCTAATTAATATTACATAAGTCTGTCATCTGTCGTATATATGACATTTAATATTGTCTTTTCTACTTGACACCTAATTTGCAAAAAGCTGTAAATTCATTTATACAATCTTATTTTTATTTGTTTTATGCACAATACTTTATTATTTTAACTTGACGTATGTACCTATACTAACTTTCTTGTTTACTTCACGGAAGACATTTTCTTTTCTACTTGACACCTAGTTAACACCTATTTGAAAAACTTTTTATCTCGCAAAATACATCTATTTGATACAACCTTTTCTCTTCAAATCACTATTATTATTCTTATTTTTATCGATATAACTACAATTTTTTAATTTTAACATGAAAAACTAGCATACTATCAATCGAATTTCAACCGAAATTCATTTTCAATCCGAAAATCAAATATTATTCGACTAGTGACAAAATCGTAGAGATTTTTTTTATATAAATCAAAAATATATATCACAAGGATCATGAAAATATAAATTAAAAAACTATTAAAATTGTTTAATTTAAACATCTATATAATTTTGAAACATCATTTGATCTGCTTCAAAAATAACATCATCCCTTTCATCCCTAATTTCAAATCCTCTTCCTCTTATTAGTATTATCCATATTACAATTTATCTTTATTTATCCTTATTACAATAAAGATAATAAATTTTAAATATTTATAATTTCCTCGTTCTTCTTCCTCAAAGTCAAAGTAGCCTTCGATAGCATTTTTAATTTCTTTGTCTATTATACTCGTGATACTTTTAATCCAAAAAAAATCAAATCTGATTTTATCGTCAAATCAATCATTGAACAGTGTTCCTTTCAAGTTTATTGAAATATCATCTAATCGGTCTTCAAGATCTCAAAGCCGCGATCTCCGCGGCTCTGAGTCATCGATCGATCTCTTAGGACATTTATCGAGCTGGTCGACGCTTAAGCGCGAATGTCAGCGCCTGTTCACAGCAATATTGGCCGAGTTCGAGTTTTCTCTGTCGTTCTTTCGTCGATCTGCACGCGTCTCGAATGCGAATGCGCGCCAAATACGTCCAACTTTGTTTTCAACTGCAGCTGCGGCGCTGTTAAATGAAACGATTTCGCGATATAGAGATCGACGATTGATCGGTCAAAAATATATTTGGAAAATTTATTCTCCCCGTTTCCGGTCGGTGACTTGCTATTTTCACGCGAAATAAAATTCTTATGAACGCGATGGAGCTTAAGCAAAAGTGTCTTATTCTTCAATTTATCATGAAATTTTTCTTAAATGCATAAATAATCGTTTACGAATAGATAATGCAAAAATTGTCAAAGATCTCTCTGTCAAAGATCGATTAAAAATTATTATATTGGCTTTAATATATCGTTTGATACATTATCTCTAAATAAACGTATAATATAGATCGTAAAATTTTGTTAAAAAAAAGATGAGAGTAGAAAGAATTGTTAAAAATAAAGATTTTAAATGAAATTTCAGTAAAAATTATAAAATATAAAAAATACAAATTTTTGTTTTATATCTTTTCTGAATTAATATTATTTTTCAAACGAATTGCATATTATTATGTACTAAAAAATATTAGCTAAGATTACTAAAGATTGATTGAAAAATTATTATACAACGGCTTTAATAAAATCATTATTCGATTTATTACATCAAATATATTTATAAAAAATATAAAATTTAGAGTTTTTAAGAAAACAACAATTCTGGTAATAAAACTTAATTGTCACATTAATTTTAATGAAAATATCCACGTTCCATTTATCATTTGATTATTTATTGTTGATTCGTGTATATCCATGAAATAAACGTAATAAATAATACCATTGAATTTAATTATTAATATTATCAATGTTTCGTTAAAAATTATCGTATGAATTTTAATAAAAATATCATTGTTCGATTATTTATTGCTTAACCAACTCGTAAAAATATTGCACACATCTCCAACCTAAAAAGTTTAATTAAAAATTATCGCACTGAATTTAATAATGTAATAATGTAATACATCCAACTTCATAATTAAATGATAATTTAATTGAGTTAATAAATTAGTTAATAAATACGAATTCTCTCGAATTCGATTAAAAATTATGGCGCCATTACTCATACACGTATTGCATACTATTACAAACAAGGGGGGAAAAATTGAAAGCAATATTATATTCACCGTTTGTGAATTCAAGAGAAAACGTAAATATTGTCAAAAACACGTGTGAAAGAATTTCTGCTTCGTGTTTCCTGAAAAGATTCTCTTTTATACGCCCAGAATCCGTTTTACACGCGTAAATATAGATCTATATAAGATGACATTGCAACAAGTCCTTGCAGCAGCCGGCTCTGCTTCAGTTTATGGCGCCTCTCTTCCGTAACGGGAAGTGTCGTCCGCATAAATTTCATCGTAGGCGAACCGAGACAGATGAAAGATAGATGGGTCTCAGAAGGTCCATTATGTCACGATACGAGTTCTAGCATTAGAGATACTGAAAACTTCATTTCTCGATGACAATCTCTTGATAAATCAATGTCAATTTTCGTCTTAATCGTACTTACGTCGTTCAGTATCCCTAAAACTTACAGCTGCAAAAGTTGATATAAGAAAATTAAAGAGTTAAGTTTGTTTTTCGATGAAAAAATGAAATGGAGGATGGTGTTTTTTAAATTATATAGGATTATATATGTTTCGATTTTAAAGAAACGAGAATAAAAAAGTTGATGTAGAAAAATTGAAACTTGTTTTAAATAACGCGATTCGCGTTAGATGAAAATGGAGATGAAGCGAAACGATTCGAGGATAATATTTTTTTACATTCGATTTTAAAAGTCAAAATATACTGATTTTATTTTGTAATCTACTCTCGAGAAATATCTCACGAATATATATATATATATATATAATATTTTTTTTCTTTTTGAATATTTATTAGCATCCAAGAAAGGTGAATCTTTTATCAGAGACAGTGAGGAAAATTGACCGTGGTAATAAACGAAGCAATTAAACGCGCGATTCAAAGTGCGATCGAATGGGGGATATTTATAATTGTTAACTCGCAAAAGGTAAATCAATCGAGTATTCCTTTCTTTTTTTTTTTTTTTTTCAAGCGACCTTAATTTTTCAAGGGTTTTAAGAGGGCGTGCCAGGCGGAGAGACGTGCAATTAGTGATGAAAAACGGTAATATGCGTTGGCACTCGTGTCATACGTGCAACGAGATCAGTCTCGAACGATCTGTTCAACTTTCGCTCCCTATATGGACTAGAGACCCGACGAAGACGTTTCCCATCTCACTTTTATCACCACCCTTCCCTCTCTTTTTACCTGGTCTCGTCTCTATGTATCTAGAACGTTTTTAATTCAATTTCCCCTGAAGGGGATTCAATTAATCGATGGAAATATAATTTCGTGAAAACATTGGAAGTGAGGCAAAAGATTCACAATGTTGAAATTTCCATATAGATTTTTTAATTTCTTCGAAAAAAAAACTTCAAATTAACTGCGATTAATGGGAAATTTTAATCAAAATCCAAAATAAAAATATTGCATTAATTTCAATCAATTTCGTAAAATATATTAAAATCATCAACGAAAGATTATATGGTTCGAAATTTCGCGAAGAATTTTAAGTATTCAGTTAGATTTATATTTTAAATTGAAAAAATTTCGACCAGAGGAGAAATTATCATGTAATTTCATAAAGATTTTGGAATAAAATAAAAGATTTCTCGAAGGATCGATGATAAAAATAATAAAAATCAATCGTGGAATAAACAAAGGATGACCTCAATGTGGACGCAACAGTCACGGAAATACGGAAATTCAGGTCGAGGCCGTAAGAACTTCGAGATCGTCGGTTAACAGGGTAAACTTTTTGGACTTTAAACTTCTTTAGCGCCTCTCGTTTCCGTACTCGATGGTTATATATCGAGTTCACGTTGGGTATTTATACACGCACTCAAGTTACGTGTTATCATTGTCAGCAATAAAAGTTGCGTTTAGTAGCGAAAGATTTCAGAAGACGCGTGTTTAGAAGAGCAAAGGACACGGTATGATTCAGGGTATGATCGCTCGTGACGTTATTCAAATCCGTTTAAATCAATCATCTTCGTCAAAAAACTTTGTTACAAATAATGATTTCAATTTTATTGGTGTTTTGTCTGAATGGATAATTAATTGATTATTTTTCTATCATTTCTATTTTGAAAAAATCACCAAGACATCTTTATATAACGTTCGATTTTTTCTGCTCTTCCTTTCCGAAAATAAATTTTTTCAAAATTTAACTGGAATTTAAATCACTCATTGATAAACAAATTACAATCGATATTTTGTTATTATACGAATTAAACATCGAATCAAAAAATTACGTATATGTATTCATTCAAAAAATGATCATACACGCATTGTTAAATTTTACATTATTAAAAATTTTATATTACACACAACGAAGAAGAAAAAAATTGATAATTTATATATAATCGGCCAAATGTGCAATGCATTTATTTTCCTTACTTGATCTCAATAGCTCTTTTCGTTTTTTCAGGCCGATTACTACAAGGACGCAGCCCACTTCCGGCTGGTCGGCGAAGGATCTCAGTACCGTCTGGAAATACCGTACGCGAAACTCGACTTCACGGGGACGTATTCCGTAATAGCGCGGAACTGCCATGGGGAGGCCAAAGCCGTGATTTCTTTGCAGATCTACGCGAAAGGTAAGGAGAGGGGGAGGCATGGCCGCGGTTTCGCTTAGACGAAAATCGATCGTTGTGCTTTCAGGTCAAGGGAAGGAGGAGAAAATGAAGAAATCGGGGATCACGCACGGGTAAGCGTGTATTTTGGATCAGTAAAGAAAAAGATATTGAACGAGGTAGCGAGTGAAAAGAAATAAAAATCGGATATCGCGTACGATTGACAGGAATGTGCTCACATTGCCGATGGTTACGAGGGAGCTTCGAGATCTGAGGTGTTGCGACGGCGACGCTGTCACCCTTGAATGCAAGGTGCACGCTGCACCCGAGCCGCCATTGGTACGCTGGGAACGTGGAGGAAAGGTAGATTTTAGAATGTAACTCTTCCCTTTAATAGCGAAATCTTAATTAACTCGCTAAATTTTGATGTATATTAATATTCAATTAATTTATTTTGCAATTCATCGACTTAGCATTAAGAGTCTGGATATTTAAATCAATTGCTGCAATAAATTTCTCTATTGGCTCATAGAAATAATTAAATAAAGCTCGAATGTGAATATAAATTAGTATTTTTGTATTTAAATGATATTCAGATTCTTCAAATGAGTGGAGATTTCTCGGCTGAATTCGACGGTGAAACCGCACGTTTGTGCATCCAGCATGTTTATCCGGAAGACGAGGGCGAGTACACCTGCGTGGCGTATAACGACCTCGGCAAGGCATTCACGTCGGCGTGCCTAATAGTGGATGGTAATTTCGTGTTTAATTCACGATAGTTCAATAAGGCAATATGGAAACATGGGCGATACAAATACGTGGAAACCTTCGTTTCAAAGCCTGTTCGATCACCACTGCGAAGTTTGATTTAATTGAAAATTTACAAGTATGACAAGTAGACTTGTTGCGCTACATTTTTTCTCTTGGAAGAAATAATCAGTTGAGAAGTGAAAATGTGAAAAATAACAAATTTTCGAGCTGCAAAAGTTAAATTAAATAAAAAATCGTAAATTTATTTTTCGTTTTGTTTGAATTCGTGTTTAGTGCCTGAAGGGAAAGAGAATGTTTTGAGCCAAAGATTGACGAGACCAGCTGGACTTCTCTCGGCGGGATCGACACCTAGATCGACACCACGATCGACGCCAATCAGGAGTTTGTCACCAGCAGTTTCACGTAAATATACATTTTTCCCTTCTGATTTCTCTTCGAAGAATTTCAGAACTCCTTTCTTCCTTCACAATTTTATTAAACTCTAAATTTTACTTTAATCATCATTCACAATATATAAACTTTTACAACTGTGTGAACTCAAAGATACCATAGCGCTAGATATTACAATTTATGACTAACCAAAAGCTATTCAATTTTTATTCCAAACATTTTTCTTTCTCAAAAAAATATATATTATCTATTCTAATATATGAATGTACAGACTCATACAAGAATCATTATAACACAAAAATATCAATTATGTAATCAGTGCATAAGATAAATGGAACAATTAAACAGATGGCCGAGAATTAAGGTCTCCGCAGCTTCTTCCACGAAGCACGTTGTCAAAGCGGCCAAAGATCAGTCCGCCGAAATTTTACGCGGTGCCCCACAACCGTGTGGTCGAGGAGGGTGAAACGGTGCGTTTCCAGTGCGCCGTGGTCGGCCACCCGACGCCCTGGGCCAAATGGGACAAGAACGGCACAATGGTCACCCCAACAGCGAGAATCTCGATAAAGGAGAGGGACGACGTGAAGATATTGGAAATCGTTGAGGTAACACTGGAGGACGCGGGACTTTACAGGGTGATCGTGGAGAACGATTACGGCCGTATCGAAGCCAGCGCTCGTCTGGAAGTTATAAGTACGTAAATTTCGCCAATGTTTCTTTTTCTTTTTATTTTTTTGTCGTAAAATTTTTTTTAAACATTTACACGATGACAATTTTATTATCATTCAACACTTTTTTGTGTGTTCAATTCAATTTTATTGTTTAGTGGAAGGAAAAAAAGAAAAAAAAAAATAAGGAAAAAATTCTGTCAAATATGTAAATAAGAATTTACGTATTTGAAAAAAAATAAATGAGATATTGTTCTAAGATATTGTTTAATAATGCATTTCTCGTTTTAAAATATATAATGTTAAGATTCTATTGTTATTTATTTATTATTGAAGAAAGAGAGAGAATTAAATGCATTTACACATATTATTTGCAACGTGATTATTAATTATTGTTATTATTATTGTTGTGCAGTTAATAATATTTTCAAAATTTCGAAATTTTCTCTCCTCTTTCGAAAAGATCGTCACTTACTCGGATCGGTTGCCCGTACGATCAGAATAAGAAGCGCGTCGCCTAGAACGTATCCATCCTTCAGCCGAAGCCTCCTGGACACGAGCGGCAGAATAAACGGAAGGTTGTACCTCGAGTGCGGAATCAGAGGAACGCCCAGTCCAACGCCGACTTGGTTCAGGTGAAATGAAATAGGGGGAAAAAGATTAATTCCAGCTCCTCTAATTTTTCTTTCGTAAAAGAAACAAAAATATAACAATGATTCCAGGAATGGAAGGCCGTTGGAACGATCGATCCGAATAAAAAGGTATTTCGACGGCAAAACTGCAAAAATCGAGATATCAAAAGTGAAATCGAGCGACGCGGGTGAGTATACCTGCGTGGCAACTAACGTCCTTGGATCTACGAAGAACACCTGTCAGGTGATAATCGTATCCTGTTATCTATCCTATTTATTTGCGTATTTGTGTGGAATTGTCTCATTTTTTCTTTTAAATCGTGTCCAACAAACAGGTGACCGTCCTTAGCTCTTCCAATCCATCCACGAGTGACAGGGATCCGCCGAGATTTCTTCATCCACTCGCCGAAGAATCGATCGTCGTGGAAGGTCATTGCTACGAACTACAGACGAGACTCACGGGTATAGCGTACAATTGAGAATGAACGATAATTATTCTAATTAGTACGAAAGGAATTTCACGCTAAGAGCATAATTTTCGTTACAACACTTGAATATACATTTTCATAAAATTTAAAAAGTAAATTAAAAAATATGTAGAAATGAAATATGTTTCGTTAATTAATCGTTATTATGTATTTTTTTTCTTTCGTGAATTTATTTATCGGCGAATGATTAATTTTATTCTTCAGGTACGCCGCCCTTCTCGATGATTTGGTTGAAAGACGGTCGCGAGATACTCGACAATGATGACCACAAGTATGTCGTGTACAGTGATGGTGGTATCGCTCTCAGATTATCCAACGTTTGTCCACAAGACGCTGGCGAATACACTTGCCTCGTTCGTAATAATTTCGGGGAAGCATCCAGCAATGGCCTGTTTATCGTTCAAGGTTCATATTTTCTTAAAAAAAAAAAAAAAATAGATATACGTATATGAATCAGGATAAAGTTATTTACAATCCATAAAATTTGAGGTATACTTGTTATTATTTATACGTTTTATTTGTTAATTTCTACATTTAAAGAATCATTTTGAAGGATTGTGTAAAATATTAAATCGTACAGATTACAAGGGTACAGCGAAATTGGCGCCACAGTTCACGAAGACTCCGATGTCAGTCGTCGCATCGAAAGGAGACATTGCCTGTTTCTGTGCTCGAGTGCAATGTGGAAAACCAATGGAGATCACGTGGACGATCAATGGAAAGGACGTTAAAGAAAATCCAAGGTGCAAGGTGTGTCGATTTATTCTTCCGTAAATGAATCCACGTATAATTATTCGAAGAAAAATATTATAAACGAAACGTTCTTCTTTCACAGATCGAGAAAGACGACAGCGTGAGTATTCTCAGGATACACGACGTGCAACCGCGAGACGTTGGCGAGATTCGATGCACAGCATCCGTGAGTGGAAAAGGGCCGTCGATCAGTTGCGCGGCCGAGCTACGATTGAATCGAGCAGCGAGGAATCCCGAGGATTCGATTCAATCCGCGACCAACGGAAATCGAAACGAGAAGCCGCCCAATTGCAACTCCTTACGAAAGACGAGGAAAGACGTTCCTCCTCCTGTCGAGTCTCCCACTCGAGCCTCGAGGTCATCCTCGTTGCCTCGAAGATCCACGCCGAGCCCCAACCTGTCTCCTTTGCCCGTGAGGAGAAACATCCCCCCAAGCCCGTTGCTGCTCGACAGGAGGACGAAACTGGCCGACAAAACTGGGAAGAGGAAAGATCTCAATCTTAAAAAATTCGCGCGTAAAGCTACGCAACGGGTGTACAGGGAGCCGGGTGATCGGGTGTCATCGGACGAAGAGGAGGCGAGGGAGACGTTCGAAACGAAGTTATTGGAGAAGGAAGGGGAATTGGTAAAGGAGAACGTTCGTAAGACTGATAAGAGCGACACGAGACAAATCCAAGATAACGTTAATAAGCACGATAACACGCCAATAATATGCGTGAAGCATGTTCCGGAAGAGATCGAGGAGATCGAGGAGGAGTGCTCGATTCAGAACGATGCGATCGTGATGGAGAAGGAGGAGAATATTGTTGGTGGAGAGGAGGAATTGGTGGCGGCCTGTATCGTGAAGGTACCGGCTGATGTCACCGTTTTCAGAGGAAACAGGGTTGTCCTCAGGGTCACGTATCGAGGTCATCCGGAACCGATGGTCAAGTGGCTTCGAGCGGTGAATATATATATGAAATATCGTTTATATGTGCAGTCCCGTTCATTCTCTCGTTTTCTAGTTATCGAAGGTTTGTTTAATCGAGTTTAGAAGAAGGAAAAAAAAAAAAAAAAATACAAGAAGTTCTTGTTATTGGAAGAATTAAAGACGTTATTGTTTTGGACAAGAGAGTCATTATTCCTATTTACATTCATTGAATCGGTATACTTTAATATCGAGTTTAAATTCACCTTGATAGGACATAATTGCAACTTAATAAAAGTTAAAATGACATATTTAATTTCGTACAATGTGGTTGGACATGATTTATATATAGGGTGGACTGAAAATATAATGGTGGTGTTGAAGAATTTTTTTTTTTTGGGTTAGATTGATAGATAAAGGAGATTATTAGTATTAAAAATAAGAGACAAATAGATATGGAATTTTTCAAATAAATTAAAGCGATTGATTTCTTTTTTTATGTCTTGTATGCCTTTTATTGAATTTTCAAGATCATTTTTTATATGATTCTTTTTTTAGTAGATGAAAAAAATGTTCGAGCTCGCAAACAAGCAAAAATAATTATAATGTTCATAAAATTTGAAGATAACTTCGAAAATTAGAATAGAAATAATATATATAGAATAATTAAATAATAAGTTTTTTTAACTATGAAATAGATATAAAATAAAAATGTTGACCAATCTATTAATAGTAAAATTAATTAAAATTGATTAGAATAGTAGCATTATACAAGATTATACAAAATCGAGATTATAATTTATTTATTAAATATAAAATATTTATAATTAAAATAATTTATTTATAATATTTGTAAAATTCAGTGTTTCTTAAAATATCAATCGAAAATATATCAAGTGCAATGCAAAACATAAAAATATTGAATTAAGAGACAAAACTCGTAATTGAAACCCAGAGTATTTAATTAATCAATATTAATTAAATTGAAATACTAATGCTAAAATTTTTATTTTAGCATTAAATATTTTTCAACTTTATCACTAATTCAAAAAAAACTAAAAAACTATAATATATGCCCACAGTTTTATTATTCTTATTCATCTTATTTTTAATTAGGATCAACGTTATCAAAATAAAAATTTAATAAAAATCTTTTTCAAATAATTATTCAAATAAAAATTTTATTTTACTGTATTACTTCATTCTAAATTATAATATTATATGAATATTAATATATTTAAAATAAATTATTTTAATATTTGTATACTCTATATTGATATTTGATTTTACTTTGAAATCATAAAATTTTATTTTTATGATTCACTATTTATTTTCCATAATAATTTTTCTCATATCTAGATTTAAATATGCCTTTTGATGACTATTTAATCGCAATTTCTTATCTAAAAGAAATCTATGTTTCTTATAGATATACAAATAGCCTCATTACCTTTTATCTTCTATTATTGAAACATTTGATAAAACAAATCGAATTAAAAATTAAAATATAATTTATTTTGTCAAATAAATAAGATTTTATTTTTCAAATTAATTTTCGAACTGTATATCTCAAAATTTTATTTAGAATTAAAAGTCACCCAAAGTCTACTTTTATTTCACATGTGCCATAAACTTCGTCCCATCCTATACATATATCTATAGTCACTCACGATTAAATACGATAAATATAATGATACGTGAGCGACTATCAGTCACTCGTATTCGTTGTTCGTAATCGTGCACGGTCAATCGAGTATTTAATCGAATATATTTTCTGTTAAAGGGGCGAGAATTAATTCCAAACAAAAAGACTGCGATCACGTATGGCGGAGGTGTCTCTTGCTTAATATCCGACGATGTGACGGCTGATAATGCTGGGAAATACGAGGTATCCGTGGAAAATAAACTTGGAAAAGATCGACGATGTTTCAGCGTTGCCGTTGAAGGTACGTATAGAAAGATACGTAGAAACGAATTATTAATCAACGAGTCGTTGTTAGTCATGTATAAAACCAAACAGAAGTGATTCTAAAAGAAATTATATTGGCATTACGTAAGTAGGTCTCGAGTAGAAACAAGATATAAATTCAAGCAATATGCATATGTGTTTAAATACGGAACACGAACACTAGAAAACGATTCATGTTTACAAAGCTATGAAATGAGCTTACATCATTCGCTTAACCTGTGTGCGCGACGATATGCGCTTCTCGTGTATGACATAATATCCATATTTGTGTGATATAAAAACTGTGCGGTATAAATAGATAAATATAGTGTAAAAAAATGTCGGTAATTAGGATTATCAGTGTATAAAACGAGTATGCAAAATGTAAGTAATAAAGTAAAAATTATATTATCTTTATAAAGAAAATTGATCTAATTAAAAAAAAATGATTTGATTTGAAAATTTGTTCATGTAGAATTGATAATGAATTGATAATTTCTAAGTACTTTATCGCGTAATAATGTGATGTATTATGTAATAATTTTTTTTCTTGATAAAATATCTATTTAAATATTTGAAATTAATATAACCTTTATATTTTCATTATTTTTTTTTTTCCTTTTCTATTTTCAATTTCTTCTGAGATTTTTTTTTTGTCCAATAGAATATTACAAAATTTGAAAATTTATAAAATTATATTTTAAAAATGGAAGACAATACTGAAATTTTGAAGCTTAATTTTATTTCTTCAAAATGATATTTCAATAATAAAAAAAATTACTCTATATAGATCATTGTGCTCTACATATTCACAAAATTTATATAATGCAGAATTGTCGTTTATTTTGATAACATAATTAGATGAAATTATAAAGTTTTTGATTATATAAGAAAAACTGGAAGAAAACAAGTAATATCTTCTTCTAGTTCTTCCATGATAGTAACGTAAAAAAAAAATGAGATAAAACATGAGATAGTAGATATGTAAAGCATCTCCCTTTCAAACCTGAATATACATATATAATCTAAGTAAATGTAAGTAATTGTTCGTTGAGAATCAGTGCATGAAACAAAAATTTCTTCATTAAATTAGTAAAATTGCTTATGTTATTAATAATAATAGACTTCTTGGTGAAATTTTATCGTTTCCTGAGAATATTACAAATTTTATACGGATAATAAATGCAAACAATTAACAATGCAATGATTAATCGTGCTAATTTCAGAGTTTAAATAAAATCGTAAAAAAACATAGAAGCCATAGAAATAGAAAAAAAAAATTAATTTCAATTTCTTGATCAAACGAAATCATCTATTTCTTTTTAATTTGTTGCGTTTAAACAGTCAATTTATTAAAAATTTAAATATTTTATTTTTTTAATGTACGTAATAATTTCACGAGAATTATTCGACAACGATAATAATCTTTTTAATTAATGCAATTTCACCACAATCTATTGTGAAGAAAAAAATAGAACATTTTAAAATTTAATTCCTCATAAAAATGACATGATTCTTTTCTTCCACAAACCTATGTTTGAAGAAATCAAAAAAATCAAACGTTATTAAAATCTTTACTTCTTAACAAAAGTGAAAATCCTCAGAAAGAAAAGAAAAAAAAAATAAAAATTCTAAATAATATTAATTTCGAATAATAAATTCGAGATCTGCCAAAATTTTGAATCTAAAGAAATCAATTGTGAATGGAAAAAGATACAAAGCTTAATAATATTCATAAACTCCATTGTTCCGATATAATGGCTAAATAACGAATGATTATCACGTAACTCGACGTCGACAAACGCAATTTAGAACGAAACAAGCATTGTTCCACGTGCGTAAGCGCGTGTCACACGGTCCAGTTCCGCTTCTTATGTACAAGGTAGACGGCAGTCTCACGTGACGTATCGCGCAATAATTCCTTTCCTCGTTTTTCGTTGCGTCCCCACCATCTGTCTCGTCTACGCTTCCTCTTCGCTTGGGATCACGGGAGGACGAAACAGTGGTGAAAAAGTACGTGTACCGTGTACGTGAATCGATATTCGTCTAGAATGACTAGAGGCAGTGAAACGACAAGGGAATTTTCACTACATCTAATATTCTAATTTATTCTAGATTGGTTTGAGTGATTGTAAGGAGAAGAGAGATTCTTGACAGCAAGAATGGGTAATGGAAAGTTATTTATTATTGATGTAATAATTACTGCTGGCAAGATGAAATAATTTGTCAAAATGTTGTATAAATGTTTATCTTTATGAATAATTTGTCATAGATAGTACATAGATAGTATAGAAGGATTTTAAAAATGTGACATTTTAAAAATTGATATAATTAAATAGTTTTAATATAATAGTGCAATAATTAAAGAGTTTATATATATAAAATATAATGATTTTATAATGGTTTAAATTCATAAGATTCGATAAAAATTAAATTTAATTATATTTGAAATTATCGATAAGATTTATAGCATTTGCGTAGTAATGTTAATTGGAAAATTTTGTAATTTATTAAAGAAAAGAAATTAAAAATTGTTCAATATTTCTCTGTTCTTTTATGAAAAAAAAGGATAAAAATAAGATTCGTTTTTTGATTCATCATCATTCTTAATACATCATTTGAATTTACGTGTTACAAGAAAATTCATCCTCTTCTAATTTAAAGATTTTAATCGATTTGTAATTAGTAATTGATGAATCATATTGAAGGAAAAATAACTGTACTTGTTTATACAATTTCAAATGAATCGTTGAACAAGAGGTCTTTCATTTACTGTTTATCAGTGATTACTTTTAGAAAAAAAAACTAGTCGTTTGAAAAGTAAACGATAGGGAAAAAAACGCGTTCCACATGTTTCTAACAAATCGTCTTACTAATAGATCTGATTAAAAACTATTTACATTATGAATATACGTAACATTTAAAAAATCCAATATCTAATCAGTATTGTATAATAAATACAAATTGATTAGAAATTTAAATGAAAATTTTTAAAATATCAAACATTCGAGAGATACACAATAAATAATCTGAAAATAAAGTAATGAATTCATCGATTATTTCAGAAAATTTCAAAAATATATATATATATATATATACACACAACGATGCTTAAAACAAAATAAATTTTGTTAACAATTTTGTTATCTATTTCCAGTTTGTTGATTTAAAAAACAGTACAAGATTAGAAATTAACATTTTTCAAAATGTCAAATATTCGACAAATACAATAACGATATCTAATCCAAATTCAAAATTGATTTCATATACAATAAACGACCTTTCTTTTTTTCTTTTTTTTTTTTTTCTTTTTTTCACAGGTCCACCTGACCCACCGGCAGGTATTCCAAACATATGTTGTTCCACGGGTACAGCAACCATCAATTGGCGGTCATCACCTTACGATGGCGGTTGTACGGTTACCGGTTACACCGTGGAGATGAATCGTGCCGGTGAAAATAGCTGGACAACGATCGCGGAATCCTGCCTCTCGCTCAGCATCACGGTTCCTTCCGTCGATTCGAGCACCGTGATACCTGGTGAAAGATATCGTTTCCGTGTGAGAGCTGAAAATATCCACGGGGTTAGCGAACCCGGTGACGAATCTCAATTTGTTCGAATTCCGAAAGAAGGTGAAATGTGTCTCGAGGAGGATGAGGAAGGTAATCGTGAAACTTGTTCGATCAAATTTCAATCGATTAAAGCTTTAATCAAGATATAAACTGTTTATTTGTAAATTATTTCTCAATATTTCTCATTAAAATCGACATTACATTAATTCTCTTAATGAATCTTTAAATATTTTTATCTGAACGTTGAAAGTATATATATATATAGATGATAATTACAAAATAGATAATTCGAAAAAAAAGGAAATATTCTTCTTAGTTTTCTATAATTGTAAATTGATAAAATTCTTAAAATTTTTATACAACATTCCTATGTATTCTTTTAAATTCAATATTATCTATTTATGAGAATGAAAAAAAAAAAAAGAGAATGAAAAATAAAGAAATGTTTCGTGTTTCGAAGAATTCGAGCCACCGTTCGAAGCTCGAATAGTCGAAATGGAGGATGGGCATTTGTTCAACGATCGGTACGAGGTATTGGAGGAATTGGGGAAAGGCCGATACGGAACCGTGAGGAGGGTAATCGAGAAATCTTCGAATACGAATTTCGCGGCGAAATTCGTGAGAACGATTAAAACGAAGGATCGAGAGCAAGTTCGAGAAGAGATCAGGATCATGAACATGCTACGTCACCCGAAACTTCTCCTATTGGCCGCCGCTTTCGAGAGCCCTCGAGAGATCGTGATGGTCACCGAATAGTAAGCAGTTGATCAAGAGTGAATATTTTGAAAAATATTTGGGGAAATCGATTAAAATGTGTTATGTACTTTGTAGTATTTCCGGTGGAGAACTTTTCGAGAGGGTGGTCGCCGATGACTTCACCTTGACCGAAAGGGACAGTATACTGTTCATGAGGCAAATCTGCGAGGGTGTGGAGTACATGCATCAGAACAAAGTGGTACACTTGGATCTGAAGGTGAGGAAACGGAATGGAAGATCTTGCGATGAATTTTATATATATATATGTGTGCGAAAATATTGTATTTTATAACGAACTTACAAAAATTCTTTACGTTTGTTATTTTTTTAACAAACCATACATCATTAAAATTAAAATTAAAGCTTAAAATCTTGTCGATCAGAAGATTTGCAAATATAATTGGATCGTTGTTCACTCAAATTTTAAGAAATAGAGAAACAATTAATTACCAGTTGCATTCCATTTTGCAATTTAAATGAATTTAATCTCTCGTTTTGAAAAGTTTTCTTCGAATTATGAAACAACATAATTCATGGTGATTCTTGCAATTAGTAATAATCAATCTCTATTATTATAAAGTCAATGAAATTTAATCACAGAGAAGATACTCGATATTCTTTCTTTCTTTTTTATATTGATTAAAATTTGAAATAAATTCCACCCGCAATTCCTCTTTTCAGCCGGAGAACATAATGTGCAGGACACGAACGTCCCATCAAATCAAGCTGATCGATTTTGGCCTGGCGCAGACGCTCAAACCTGACACACCGATCAGAGTTCTCTTCGGCACCCCGGAGTTCATTCCTCCTGAAATTATAAATTACGAGCCAATAGGGACCGAATCGGACATGTGGAGCGTCGGTGTCATCTGTTACGTCCTGTGAGTAGATTAAAATGTTTTAAGGAATAATCAATCTCTCGACTAATCACGATCGTAAAACCATGATCAGATTAACCGGTTTGTCCCCGTTCATGGGAGACAACGACGCCGAAACCTTCGCCAACATAACTCGAGCCGACTACGACCTGGAGGATGAGGCCTTCGATGCGATCTCGAACGACGCTAAGGACTTCATCACCGGTTTGCTTGTCAAACGAAAGGAGTACGTGATAAAATAATATTCTTTGATAAATAAATACTTTTTCACGCGGCTATGTGTCATGTCCGAAATTTGAAGGAAATATTGAATTTACGGGACAATTATTATTGAAATTACAGGAACAATTAACATATTCGTGAAACACTTTTGGAGAGTCGATTTATTTTTTTAAGTCGTAAGATATGTCTTATTTATTATTCGAGCCATGATCGACATTTTTGTATATCAATTTTTGTTTAAAATTTATACAAGTATCCATTATACAGAAGTATAATGTCGATTATTCAAACGAAGAACGAGTATATATTTACAGTAACAATTTTAAAAATGTTTAAAAAATTAATTTAAATATCTATATTTAAATATCGTTTAATTTTATTTTTGTTTCATAGTTGAAATAAATAGTAGTCAACTAATTATTGAAATACAACGTTTCCAAAAATTATATTGTATCGTTAAGAATATTTCTTTAAGTATTACAATTATTTAACATACGAATGGGTGATTTATAGATCGCGAATGTCGGCTAGACAGTGTTTAGAGCACCCTTGGATGGCGCAACACGCGGAAGCAATGAGTAGGATAGCCTTGCCGACTGAGAAGCTGAAAAAATTCATCGTACGAAGAAAATGGCAGGTAAGAATTGCTTTTTCGTACAAGATGAAGAGCAATCTATGTACTCTCGCAAGACGCCATCTTGTTTGTACTTACCATTCGCTTACAATATATTTTATTGCATTGTTGTGTTAGATTGTTAGAGCGTTTTGAGTTTTTGTCTAAACACACTTGAAGCATTAACTTTTCTCGTCAAATGTTTGTCAAACCTAATTTTTCAGTGGAAAACAAACATAATTTTTTCTGTTTACATCAATCATAATTTATAGAAAAATTTAAGAGTATGACAATGAATAAAAATAAAAAATGAATCAATGAACGCTAATATAATTTGTAAATTATATTATTCACGATTAATGTTAATTTATTTTAAAATTATTGAGAAAAAGATATATATTTCTTTCCAATACAAACAGTTAATTAATTAATTAATTAATTAATTCTGAAAATTCGCATTAAGTACGACACCTAAAATATAAAAATTGTCCAAGCCAAACGACTTAATTTAAACCTCGAAATCGAAAAATATTCCACTGCTCCCACTAACCCAAGCATGGATTTGATCGTATTTGCGTTTCGTGTGCGCTTTTCGTCTGTTAAAATAGAAAACGGGAAACGCCATTCGTGCACTCGGAAGGATGGCGATCCTTTCGGCGAACAGCAGACGGGGCCCAACCTCGATGGAATCCTCGCCAACCTCCTCTGCCAACCACCCCATCATCGAGCCGCCCCCAACGATCGATTTCGAGGGCGGATCGGCCGACGACGGGTCGAAATCGCCGTGCATCTCCGGGAACTCGACAGCGGAGGGGAAGAAGAACGGGAGAAGAACGTTCCTCGACACTCGAGAAACGAACGTGTATTCATTCTGTTACAAAACCGAGATGAACATCTTGCCGGAAGAAACCGTACACTCCCCTGGAGCGGAGGAGAGGATCTCATTCTCCTCGAACGGGAACGCCTCCTCGTTGAAAAATGAGCCAACGACGGAGGATGGCGGTGTATCGTGTTCCCCGGGAAACGAATCCGGAGAAATAATCCGGGAAACTGATACACCGAGCGGCTTGGTCCAGGGCCAGAAGTATTCTCGGCCGGAAGAGTCCGTGGCGCGTCCTATGGAGAGGATCGAGGAGGAGGAGACGGAGACCGCGACTCGATCTCGTGTCGTCGAGGAGCGTGTATCGTCGTTAAAGGGGGAAGAGACGTCGACGATCGTCGAGAGGAGTTTGATCGATTTCGATCCGACCCCGGTCGATGACTACCGCCCGAAATCCGACGTCGATTTCTCGCAAACGAGGTCTTCTTGCAAACGGGAGCCGTCGGCGTGGAGCGACGAGGACGAGGACGAGGACGAGGACGAGGGGAAGGAGGAGAAAGGGGACATCGTTACGGAGATCGAGAAGGAATTGAAAGAGAAGATGGATCAGGAGGGGGGCACGAGCTCGCAGAAGGTTCGCCGGGTTTTCAGGGGCGACTCGCGCGATTCTGGGATCGGTGACTGCGCCTCGAACTTGTCCACGTCGTCCCAACAGGTGAACGAGTTGGGTATATCGGCGATCAAGGAGGAGGAGGCGGACAACGAGAGTAGTAGTAATAATAATAATAATAATAATAATAAAGGATTGTTGGAAAAGTTGGAACGGTTCGAGGATCGAGGAACGTTGCTCGACGACGATATCGGGGAAATATCGGCGAACGTGGGATGCGTAAAAGTTTCGGATCCAAAGAGGCATACCAAAAAAAAAGGGAGTATCGAGGTAGCTGCGCTGAGCGGTGTGAATAAAGCTTCGCGTGAAATTAATCGGCAGCATGAAGGTGTGTTTCTCAATGTGCAACTCTTTTCCATTACGTTTTCTTCATTTACCTTTTCTATTTTTTTTTTTCCTTTTTTTCTTTTATTTTACGTTACGTTGGATTAAACCTCGTTTAAGAAGGGTCAAGAGTTGAGATCAGCTTGTGTTTTTTCAGTGTCCAGCGAGATTGAGGACCCGAGGTTATTAATCGGAAGAATTCGTAGCAAATTCGTCCCGACCGGAAACGTGAGTCGTACTGCGAAATTGTTCGAGAAAGAGGCGGCTGTGGCGGCGGCGGCGGCGGCGGCTGCGACATCCAAGTCATCCGGCAACGTTCCACAAATGTCGGAACGTGCTTATCCCTCGATCGCCACGACAGCGAAGAAACCGAACAACGAAAGGATACAAAAGGCTTTCGCCTTTTGGAATAAATAGATCGTGGATTGAGAACAAAAAAAAAAAAAAGAAAGAAAGAAAAAGAAAGGATCGAAAATATTCTTAAGGCGAAAATAAAAATAATTCGGGGATATTCAAAATCGTTCGACTGAAAACTCTACGCGGTACCTATTATTACACTTTCAAGTGTAATTTTCTAGTTCTTTTCTTAAGGGAAATATAGTATATACGTAATAAAGTAAGTTGTTTTTTTTTTTTTTTTTAAATCTCGAAACGCACCGTATGTTGTTAAGACAAGTTAATTTAAAAAAAAAAAAAAAAACGTGCACATATTCATGTGATACGAGAAAACAAAAAAAAAAAAAAAATGTTCAAGCAAAAATGTTCACTTTTAGCATAAACGATTTAATAAGAAAAAAACAAAAATGATACGTATTTAATTTAAGAAAACGTATAATCACGCTGTACTTTCATCTTGTATTCGCGTATAAAATAAGACTCGATTTTTTGAGATTTACATTTTCTTCTCCGTAGATTCTTTGTTTGACGATTTCGAGTTTCGTATCAGGTATTCGCAGGTACACGGCAAACGAAACGAGATGAGACTCGTCTGCTTAGTCGATGCGTGTAAATAGCTGTCAAATAATCATTTTACAAGAGGTAGAAGTGTAACAAGTGTATTTATTATACATCCTTTGCATCATCGAGCCATCCTGTGCGAGGGCAAGAAGGCAAAGATTAAAAATGTATTATATTTATATATATATGTATTAAATTTATATATATATATAAATAAAATGGGATAAAAATTCGCACACAAGTCAATTTTCCGTCACAATCCTAAAGATTATAAAGCCCGTTCGAAGAATAATAAATGTTCTGGAACTGGGAGAATTCGTAACTCCTCCCCAATGTCCAAATAAGAGAATTCGTCCGTGGTTACGGGATTCCAATCGATATCGACAAACTCGTCTTTAATCGAGACGGGATCTCTGGAATTAAAACGTACGTTAAAAAAAAATATATATATATATAACGAATCGGTGATATCCGACGAAATTTAAAAATTCATCACAATCATGCGTTTACCCCGTTTTAGCGAAATTCGTCCACATCCTGGTCATTCGTTCCAACGTGATCCTGTCTTTCGTTCCAACCGCCGGTGGATCCGGATTTTCAACTTTGCACTTCGGCAAATATAACAAGTACGCGATATCGTCCACGTGAGATGTTCCTGAGATAAATCATTTGATATAATATAGATTTCTCGAGTTAATGGTCTTAAATATCACAATATCATTTGTCACTTAAAACACGATTATTATGGAAATATCGTGATGCATTGATATATAAGGTATTACGTGTATTAAATATAAGTAATAAATAATTTGGAGAAAAATATAGTTACCGGAAGCTTGGCGTTTCACTAGCAGATCGGTGGGCGTTTTCTCGTTGCCAACGTAGGAAAATTTGCAAAAGTAACTAGGCGAGGTTACCCTTCTTATTCGATCCTGCAGCCATACGATCGCGGGAATGGCGAAATAAACGTGGCCCAAAAATTCCGTCAATTCATCGAAATCATTGGCGGTGATTGATTTCCCATTGAAATAACGCTCCTTCACCGATCTGTATAAATATTTAATTTTCTCGTCCTCCAACATCTTCAACGATCCTAAGTTTCTCACATGCGTCAATAGATACAAATTGAATACTCGCACGAGTTGTTCATTTTTATCTGAAAGAAATATACATATATATATATATATATATATATTATTATACATATGATTTTATTATTATAGTCGATTTTTCTTTTTAAATGAAAAATTACTTTGCAAAAACATAATGAACTCGTTGGACGTGTGACTAGCCATCACAGGGATGTCTACCTCTTTTTTGATTAATTGCTCGAAAGGCTCTGGTAAAACAGGATTCTCCGCTATTTCGTCGCTATTCATTCCAAAAGCAAGGTTAAAACTTAATTTCTCCTAAAAAAATAAGATATATATATGCATATTTTTTAAGGATGAAATCGATCAGGGATTATTTTTATTTAAGATTTTTCCAAATTTCTTTAAAAGAAGCTCGAAAGAGTTTTGTGAAACAGAAACTTGTCAATATTTCAATTCTTGGTAAAATAACACGAAAATAGAAAGAAAATATTTCGAAAATTTCAAGAAACTTCGTGATTGTTTGTTATAATAATTGAAAAAAACGTTTGATTAGAAGCACAAGGTAAATATGAAAGGAAGAATATATTTGCCTCTTTGGACAGGAGAGCAGTCTGAGCGCGCGCGATATCTTCAGCAGATACTGTCCGCAGGAATTCGATTACTTCGACAGGATCGTTTGACAAATTTCCAAGATACTTGGCCAAATTAAAGCCACGCTCTGGACGGCTTTGATTAATCGCCCAAAAACTTCTCATCGATCCACTTTGCATAATCGCTTTGTGGAATAATCCTGAAATATTAGAGCAACCAATTGTTAGCCAATAAGCTTAAAGAATAAAGATATCAATTAAATAGATCGATTGAATACCCTTCGCGCGCGGCGACATGAGCAAAGCGTGGGTTAAAGCTGCCCCGGCGCTAACCCCAAAAATCGTCACGTTGTCAGGATCTCCTCCGAAGCTGGCAATATTTTCCCTCACCCATTCCAATGCCGCGATTACATCTTTCAACCCTTGATTCCCTGGCGCCACTTTGTCACCCAGATTTAAAAATCCTTCAAATACAAAATTACGAAAATTAAACTCTTTAACCGGATCATTTCTTTTTAGCAATTGGACATGGAAACTCTTTTGATTTGAACAGATAATAGATCGATACTTCTTAAGTGGCTCGATAATCCAATTGCATTTAAGAGAAAAAAATTATTTCAAAATCGAGCTATTACTTCGAGAAACAATGAATCTGTATGATTTTAGATACTCGATACTTTAATCCGATAAATGGATAGATAATCGACGAAACTGACCGAATGCTCCGAGCCTGTAGTTAGTCGTGACGACGACAACGTCTTTAGCGAGCAAATAATCAGGTCTGAAGTGTTGAAAGCTTGAGGAGCCTATCGTAAATGCACCGTCATGAATCCAGAACATGACTGATTTCTTTGATTGTGAAAGGGAGTTAGTGTAGACGTTCAGATATAGGCAATCCTCGTTGCCGATAATCAATGGTGGAACATCTTGGGCCTGGGAGCAGATGTACTCGTTAACGTCGGATGTGTCCTTTACGCCAGTCCATGGTTCAGGTGGTTGCGGGTCCTATATTTTTTTTTTTATAAAAAAATTGCAATTGAATCAAGGTAAACGGTGATGTTTAATAACCTTGGTTAAAATAATATCGCAATTACAGTTCGAAATTTTATATTTAGATTTCAATAAATCGACTCGACGATTTCACTAAAATAAAATTCGAATGGCAAATAATTTATTAGTTAGATTTCTATATTTTGCATTCTAGTGTATAATAATTCTCTTCAATTCAAGGAGGAAATTATGTAATAATATTAAAAATATAAAATATAAAATCATAAGATTAGTTGCTTAATTAATGATGATTAAAAAAAAAGAAATTATTATTAAAAAAAAAATTGTTGTCGTACCTTGAATCTGAGCTCTCCAATGGGGGGAGCAGCGAAAGGTATTCCTCTGAAAGCTATGTATCGAGAGCCTAGGCTACTTTCTAGTTCCGCACCTTTTAATTTGCCTTCTTGTACGATTACTATTAAATCACTCATTTTTTTCACTAAGTTCTTATTCAATTATTACTATTGCAATTATTATCGTTGTTATTTCGTATAAATGTTCACAGTTTTGACGCGAAGTCGGGTTCGAACTAATTCTAATTTTATATAATTTTAATTTAAGATTGCGTATTTTAAATTGTTTTAATTTCTTTTCAAATTTGGATTCACCTTAAGACAAACCATCACTTGTAATTCGTAAGAATACTCAACTGCTAGTAAGTGTACTTACACGTAAGATTAAATTAATCTCGAATCTTATAAAAATATAACTATCTAACTTCAGTCTTATATACACAATAAAACTCTATACTAAGTAATTTTAATGTCGATTTATACCCGGATTAAAAGATATCCGTTTATTCTTTATCCGTGTATTTTTGATTTATATTTATATTTATCTTCTTTTTTTTTATTCCCATCACGCACTTTTTTGTCTATTTCCGTTGTGAAATGAATATGTAACCGATTTGTAAAGGTTTTAAAATAGCAAATAAAAGGCTGAATAAATTGCAACAAAAAGTAATTACATAAAATACAGAACATAATGATGTTAGATAAATTATATAACAAAATACTTGGCGGTATAAAATAGTTAGATTAAAAAATGAAAAAAAATATCTAGACAACCGACATCGACATCAAATCACCAAATAAAAAAGAATATTGGAAACACATTAGAAAATCAACAGTAATAAACTGTGATTTCCAATGTGTTTATATCTAATTTATATATCTAATTTACCAATTAGATATTAAAACACAATGTGATACTTTAAATATTCGAATAAGTACACAAAATAAAAAAAGAAAAATAACGTGAAAATAATAAATTATTATTAACAGATATTCAAAAAATATGAAAGTATCAAATGAAAATAACAAGTGTTATTACATGCAAAAAAATAAAAGACGAATTGTATTTACTTGATATAGATACTTTGATTTTTTCTTGAAAATGATGTCGATATCGTGTACAAAGAATAAATAAGCAAAAACAAAAATTGGACAAAAATTGAAACGTGCAATTAATAAACATGAATTTTAAAAAAAATTTGATTTTCTCGAAAATGAAGCATCATTGTCCAGACAGTGTTAAAATTTTAAAACTTATGGGACAATCTAGCAGAGACGCCGATATCGCTATGATGTCATCGATTATTACAAAGAAGAAGACAATTATATCACTTATTATATTATCATTTAACATCTGAATAGACAGCATTCAATATATTAGTCATGTCTGTAATATTCAATACACGGTGCTAAAAGTTTTATTATATCGTAAACTTTTTTAACATTATCGTTTTTTTTTTTTATAAAAGAATACGTGAGTAATAAATATATTGTTATTTCGTAACCTTTTTTTCAAAATTGAATTTATATTTTTACGTAATATACTCTACGTTTCAATTCATTTTATGCAGCAGTGATACTCTTGTATTTAATAAACAATTTCAGGCTTGATTCTTATATAGTTATATAATATGATTGGATAAATATTCTGAATTCAATTAATTTAATTATTTGAATAATTCATTTTCGAAACTATCTCGGTATCAAATGATATTTCTGATGAAAAAA